CACTTATGTATTAGAAAGGTGGTCTTATCCTCTCCACCCATTCAGCCTCTGCAAGAGAAAAAGATGAAATCCATGCATGGGCCTTTAAGTTTGCTTTTTTCTCAAATCCATCCAAGATTTCTGGCATATATACAAGAAGATCTGTTTCCTTGCCACCTACAACAATTCTGTTACTTTAAAGTGAACTTACCTAAAAGTCTAAGACCAGATTCAGTTAAATAGTTTTAATAATTTTTCTCCAATTGGGTTATCTTGGAACTGACTGTAGTACCCAACATCTATTTCTTATTGAACTGAACCATTTTAGATCCGTTTGGAACCCACTGGATTGAACGTGGAGTCTTAGAAGGATGTCTATCAAAACTGCAAGGAAGCATCTGTAATAGATCATATTTTAGGAAATTTGTCCCTTGGTTATCTGACTGTTTAGCCACTGGCAAGACAAACTAAATTGCTAAATCATTTAGCAATCTGTGAGAAAACTTGCATCTTTTTAATCCTTGGAAAATAAACTCGATGTTAAGTATTCTCTGAAAGGACAAAAAAGAAAAGCACAATCCCAAGGGAGAGGAAGTAAGTAAAAACTCAAACAAATCAGCCATCAAAAGAGAAAGGGACAAACCAGGGGTGGGAGGCCAAGCAGCCCTAATTCCTTGGAGTTGATTATTTGTGGCTGAAGATGGATTTAGGTACATTAGAGAGACATATTGAATACCTACAAAACAATGCAACAGAACTCATATTTGTGAGAAGTAAGACACAGAGGAATACATTTTCTTTGTATCTATTGGGTTGACAGAATAATTTATATAATAATAATAATAATAGGGATCCCTGGGTGGCGCAGCGGTTTGGCGCCTGCCTTTGGCCCAGGGCGTGATCCTGGAGACCCAGGATCAAATCCCACGTCGGGCTCCCGGTGCATGGAGCCTGCTTCTCCCTCTGCCTATGTCTCTGCCTCTCTCTCTCTCTCTGTGTGTGTGACTATCATAAATAAACAAAAGTTTAAAAAAAAAAATAATAATAATAATAATAATAATAATAATAAATTTTAGGCTCCTCTCATTGGAGCCTAAAAATTGAAATCAATAATGAGACTCTGGAATTGTGGGGACTGGTTTGAGAATTATAACCTGAACTAGAAAGGGCTAAATTAGAGAAGATGGGGTTGAAGAGATAAGCTGAAATAAAAATAATACGCTCTCTAGGCAGTTATGCAATTATGTTATTTATATACTATCTGCTTCCCATATATTATCTAATTTAATTCTTAAAACAATGCAATGAAGTACTAGTATTATGTTGACTTTACAGAGGAGGAAACAAATTATGTAAACTATTCTTTTATTGAACATTTATTTCCTGTTTCTTTCTATGCTGAATTAAACATTCATTTCATATTCTTGAAAAGCACAAATTATTCTACCAACAATACCTTAGAACAAGAAATGCAAATTAGAATCCTGACATTGTTAATTTTGTGCAGAGTAGTTATTTGAGAGTTAAGGATGCAGGACATGCACACAGCAGAGTGGTTTGCTTTGGACAGCAGATAGGAGGAGACTACCCAGTTTCCTACTCTGGTTTCAGCAAACTCCTCAGCTCTGAATGGAGCAGAGGAGTGTGTTTCAACAAATTGGCTAATAAGGAGGCTTTTCTCTGAAGATGTTTGCACCTCTACCAGTATTCTAAGTATTCCCTAGTTTCTCATGTCCTACATCACTTTTTTTTCAGGTTCTTGTCAAGTCATTTGTTGTTTTTAATATAGATCTATGGGATGCCTGGGTGGCTCAGGGGTTGAGCATTTGCCTTCAGCTCAGGGCATGATCCTGGAATCCTGGTATCGAGTCCCACATTGGGCTCCCTGCATGGAGCCTGCTTCTCCTTCTGCCTGTGTCTCTGCCTCTCTCTCTGTGTCTCTCATGAATAAATAAACAAAATCTTAAAAAAATAATAATATAGATCTAGAAGCAAAGGCAGGTTACATCACTCTGAGAGATCATCTCTAACAATCATTTTTGATTGTGCATAACATTTTAAACTAGTTTGAAAGTGTCGTTTTCATTTGGGGGTAAGTGGTCATGGGAATTCATGGCTATATCCACCTAAGAATGATATCACTGATACTTGGATTCATATTAGTAATAGAACATAGCACATTAGATTGAGAGCTCTATGGGTCCATATTAACAAGCTACTCCACTGAGCTGTCCCAGAATATAAGTTGTCCCAGAAGGAAAGGTGAAGAAAGGCAATAGAACATCAATGTAGAAAGTGACTCAGCAATGTCAAGTCTTCCTAACCTGATGAGGTTGCTGATCTGTCCCCCAAATTATATAAGACTTGTTTCCTTCAAAGATTCTTGTATATTCCTATTAACAGGTCTGAACAGTTTGTACCTATTACTGTAAACCTCTGGTATAGTAACTTCTCTATTGGAGAGTCTTTGCCACTTTTTCTGCTACATGCCCTAAAGCCCTACCTAAACTATGTTTACCCTTCAGGGCACCTGAGTGGCTCAGTGGGGTTAAGCAGCTGCCTTTGGCTCAGGTTGTGATCCCAGGCTCCTGGGATTGAGTCTCACATTGGGTTCCTGCAGGGAGCCTGATTCTCTCTCTGCCTGTGTCTCTGCCTCTCTGTGTCTCTCATGAATAAATAAATAAATACATCTTAAAAAGAAACAACAACTATGTTTGGCTTTTAAGCACTTAAAAAATGTGCTAATCATAAAAAATAATAATAAATTAAAAATACACATTAAATTCAATGTGTATTTGTGTGTGCATGTATGGGTACTTCTGTGTGTTAAGTATGTATTTGTTCTCAGTGTCACAATGTAAAATGTATTTTTTACGAATAGTTATGTTCAAAATGTATTTGAAAGGCACAGTGCAAGAACACTTGTCTCTACTCTCACTCTCAAGAAGTCACTTACCTTCTGGCAAATTTGGGAGAAGAAATTGAGCAGAGTCCTTTCTCATTCTCTTGTCCCTATTGTCTTCTCTTACTCTCTGTAATAAATAATGGCCCCCAAGGATATCAGGTCCTAAAGCCAGGAACATGTAAATAATTTATGTGGCAAAGTCTTTGCAGATATGATTAAGCTAAGGATTTTGAGATGGGGAGATTATCCCAGATTATAGGATTGGGCCCTAAATACAATCATATAAAAGGGAGGAAAAAGAGATTCTACACACAAGACAGAGTAGAAAGTGATTTCAAGATACTGACCTTCCTTGAAGATTGAAGTGATGCAGTCACAAGTCAAGGAATGCTAGCAGTCATCAGAAGCTAGAAGAAGCAAGGAATAATTATCCATTCATCAGTGGATAGAAATTTCAAAAACTTACTTTTAAAGGTTCTTTCCATGTCCTTCGTGGGAATGGAAAAGATTACCAGACTTACATCCATGAGTGAGATATCATGAGAATTGGGAAGGCCTCTGCACACCAATTTGTACTTCAACATGCCTCATTATGATAATGGCCAGAACATTAAGTGATAATTACATGCAGAGCATATTATGTAGATAATTCTTTACCCTCACAAAAATTTGGTGAGGTAGTCATCATTACCCTTGTTTTACAAATGAGAAAACTCAGAAACAACTTATCCAAAGTCATACAACTAGTGACAGAACTGGGTTGTACATCTATTTTGATTCGCCTCCAAAAACAAGAGCCCTGTCCACTTCAAGTGTCTCTCTGTGTTACTTATCCTTGGCTTCCTGAGGCTGGGCTAACTCATGTTAACCTGTTCCTCAAGCAAGCTGTATGGTGTAGTTTGTATATACCAAAAAATACACAGAATAAAAGAATCTTTATGTGACACGTAATTCTTTACAGAATACATTTATTGGTTGACAATAAATTACATCACAAAAATCGCAGGGCTAGAAGAATTCTTAAAGATCCAAATGCAGAACCTTTTTAAAGATGGGGAAAACTAGGCCAACAAATTTGCATGCATCTCTAATATGCAACCAATTCATCGAAGCAGAATTTCATTGCAACGTAAACTGATTTCTAATACTTCAGTAAGTTCTAACTGGAAAGTAACTCCAAATTTACTTGATCATCCAAACACTGTAAAACTTCCTTTCTTTCCTCTTCTCAAGCATTTATTATTATTTAGGGGATATATGAGACTGATGCTAGTTTTCGAGGAAAGGGAGAGAAATTTGAAATAGCCCTTTTCGGTTGTGCGGATTTGGGGACCCCGTGTTCAGAATATTAACTGTCTCTGAAGTGAAAAATTCCGTTCTACAGAACAAAACCCCAGATATTTATTTACACGAGGTCAAGTCACAAATCAAAAATCCTTTTTAAATAAGAAAACGCTACTGAGCAGCCGTGAAACACAATGTGGTTTGTTGTTTTGGTTTTGGAGGCGGGGGGGGTGGGGGGGGACATATTCTCGTTTGCTATACCGGCTTGCCACATATTTATTTGGCTTCGAGGTGGAACTGTCATGGCATATTTGAGGATGTTCATTACCCTTGACAATACCTTGACAAAATGAAAGGCGAATGCACGTGCTGAAAAGGGGGGGTGGGGGTGCGTTCTGAGTAAGGCTACACCGTATTCGTCGTCGCCCTTCGGCATCAATACCTTCCCCGACAGGAGTTTCCAAACACCTTCCGCCTGGTAGCCAAGGGCAAAACGGAGAAGCCCCAGCTCCGAGCCCGAGGAAGGAGGCGGCCCGCCCGCCGCCAGCCAATCTCCAGGCGACTTCTGCACCTGCCCACTGCTCCAGCGACCTTTCCCCTCTGGCCCTCCGCGGGCCCCGTTTACGACAGTTTTCCGGCCTGTTGGCGGCCCGGCTGCCGTCTTTCCTGACGCGCCGCGGTCGGGGCGGTTTGCGTCCGCCGCTGGCGGGGGCGGCTTGGCTGTCGGGTAGAAGCGTGCGAGCTGGCTGCGGCCTTTGGGCTGGGATGAGCCGCGCTCTGGGTGGAGGCCGCGGAGCCGAGCCGGAGCCATGGTGAGTGCGGCCTGCCGGTCTCCTGAGCGGTCTCGGGCCCAGGCCTCGCGACCTGAGGTCGCGACCTCGGAGGAAAAGAGCCGAGGTTTTCTTCCCCCTTGCGACTCTAGGCTGGAGACGTAGGGCCCCGGACAGCCACACCTTCTGGGACACAACCCCTCTAGGGCCTTTATGGTCTTCTATGGCCCTTCCGCCAGGGGCTCCGGTCTCTGGCCCATCGGCCCCGAGGCTCCGATTGTCGCTGCTCTTCGCCCGGTGCAGCCTCGCGACCTTCCTTAGTGTGTCCTTCCCCTGGACTCCGGCCGACGCGTCTCTTCTCGGGCCCAGAACACACTGGGGATTCTGCGCGGGGACCGGGGACGCCACAGGGTCGAAGGCGCTTCGGCCCACGTTTTGACGTTGAAGCGTGTTGTCAGAATTCTGCGGTGACCTCACGTCGTGCTTTGTCCAGCAGACAAGTTACTTCCTTCGTTCTTGACTGAACAGGAGTGTGGTTTCGTTTGCCCAGAGATGAGAGGTGTTCAGTTCCACTGTCGTAAAAGTAAATAAGCAAATCCACTCGCCCTTCTCTTTCACAGTTGAAAATCCCATAGCTTTACAATGACTTAGAGTCAAAAAGTTGCAGTCCTCCTGAGAGATGATGGGCAGACGATTTTCTTCCTCAAAGTTGTTTTCCCCTTTGAAGTAAGACTTGTAATGAGTTTGGGATGGGACGATAGGTACGCATAGGGAAAGGTGAGGATTCCAGAAGTAAATGATTCACTCTGCTTCCCCTTACCAGGCCAGTACCGTGGTAGCTGTTGGACTGACCATCGCTGCTGCGGGATTTGCAGGTTTGTTTACGGTTTGGGAGTCGAAGTGAAGTGTAGGGGAGGTTGGAGATTTTTTTAATTATTCTGTTGCTTTTGTTTGTAGGCCGTTATGTTTTGCAAGCCATGAAACATGTGGAACCTCAAGTAAAACAAGTTTTTCAGAGTCTACCAAAATCTGTAAGACATGCTAAACATTTTTGCTAATTCTTTGCTGCCTATGTAGGAAGCTTAGAGTCACACTTGGAGAGGGTAAATTTCCAAACATCCATGAGGTTCTTAGTGCTTTGGGCCCCTTCTCTTGTCTCCCACAAACAGGGTTTAGAAGTTGAGGTTTGTGACAGAATTGTGGCTAAGGTATTGAAATTCTAGTATCGTGAAAGTTAATGATCACTTTATTGTTTAGAGAACTAAAGTACCATTTGTCCAGATTCTTGCCTTCCCTCATTTGCTCTGCATGACCAACACAGGGACCTAAGGATCTGCAGTGTCTAGGGATCCTGTGTTGTGTGGACCTGGCACTCCCCAAGGTACTTGGGTAGCACCAGAGTGAAGTAGGCTAAAGAGTATGACTGGATGTGATGTTTGGCTGTGACAGCTTGTTAGTATTTTTATTGAATGTGACAATATGGTGATGGTAGGCTTTACTAATATGATCTGGTAGCCTGGTTTTCTCAATACATATCTTTTTTTTTTTTTTTTTTAAAGATTTTACTTATTCATGAGAGATACAGAGAGAGGCAGAGACACAGGCAAAGGGAGAAGCAGGCTCCTCTCAGGGAGCCCCATGTGGGACTCCATCCCAGGACCCTTGAATCATACCCTGGGCCAAAGGCAGCAGCTCAACCCTGAGCCACCCTGGCATCCCTCCATACATACCTTAAAAGTCTTGTTTTAGTAGTTACCTTGACTCTCAGAATACCCTTGAATCACTCATCATAAAAGATCTCCAAATCCTTTTCTTGAAGCCCTTGTTTTTCTAACACATAATCATATTCTTAGGTCAAATTTTCACCTGTAACAGCTAACTTGGAATAAGCTTCCCTTTATTCCCAGAAGAACTGGCTATGAGGCACCTCTTCTTACATTTTTTAGAATTTTTCTGGAGGAAAAAATTGATGTTTAATATCCTTAAAATACTGGTTGCTTCCTATAAAGCTAAAATGCCATAGTAGTTTTAAAGTTCTCTGAATTGTCTTAATTTTTCTGCTGTGAACATTTTCAACATTTTTTAGCAACTTTCAGTTTATTATCTATTTTTATGAATGCATTTCCTCTCTCAGGCCTTCAGTGGTGGCTATTATAGAGGTGGATTTGAACCCAAAATGACAAAAAGAGAAGCAGCACTAATACTAGGCGTAAGGTAAATAATTTCTAATATTTGTAATATTTTTCTACAACTCTTTGAGATATGAGCAAATATCCTTTTACTAAGAGTTATAATAGGGTTACATACATTGTAATATCTAAACACTCCCTGTAAAAGTCCAGTGAGAAGGCACACTAGCACATAAGGACTTTTTAATTCACTGAAAGATTATTGTTCTTTATAACATTTTTTTTTAAGATTTTATTTATTCATGACAGACACAGAGAGGCAGAGGGAGAAGCAGGCTCCATGCAGGGAGCCCGACGTGGGACTCAATCCCAGGTCCCCAGGATCACACCCTGGGCTGAAGGCGGTGCCAAACCACTAGGCCACCAGGGCTGCCCTATAACATTTTTTGTAGTGAAATTCTGCCTTCATTTTCAGATACTTAAACATGCTTTCCCTTTCAATAAAAGGACTTATATAATGATTAGAAAGTTCAAATAATTTTAAGATTTTATTTGAGAGAGAGCATGAGTTGGGGGAGAAGCAGAGGGAGAGAGACAAGCAGACACTGTGCTGAGCTCAGAGCCCAATGCAGGGCTGGATCCCAGCCTAACCCCAAGATCATGACTTGAACCAAATCAAAGGCAGACATTTAACCAACTAAGCCATCCAGGTGCCCCTCAACTAATTATAAGAATGCAATATTTTCCTAAGGAGCTATTTAGTTCTGTGATTCAGAATATTCATCATCCGTGTATGTTAGGGAAGAGGTTCCTAAACCACTTTTCATGTTGACTTGATTTCAGTTTCACAGTATCTTTAATTGGCCTTTATTTTTTTGATGTGATCCAGAAGTAGTCTGAAGTAAACTATACCTTTTTCTTTTTAAATTAGCCCTACTGCCAATAAAGGAAAAATAAGAGATGCTCATCGACGAATTATGCTTTTAAATCACCCAGACAAGGGTAAGTAGTCATTAAATTCTTGTTTTACGTGTTTTTTTTAGTGACCAATTGTTACTAGTGGAATAATTTCATAAATTTAATTCTCGACTGTTTCAAGGAAATGCTTAAATCTGTGTGTGAGCACCGTTGCCCAGGCTAGATCCATTTGTTTACCAGCTTCAAAATCAATGACGCTGAAGATTTACTAGAAGGTCAAGCTAAAAAGTGAAGTAAACGTGTGATGAATTTTAAGTTCTTGTTAGTTCTTTTATTAACTATTCTTTTATAACTATTATTTTATATATATATATAAAATAACATATATTATAACTATTATTTTTATAACTTAAAAGAATAAATTCTAAGTGAAAAATTTATAGAATAGTCTTATACTTAGTAGTTACTGTAATTTGAAAGTAATGATAAGCATTACCATTTTCTCATCTTCCAATAGTGATAAAATGTAACTTTTACTAGTCTAAATACTATTAATACTGTTTTGGGGTTGGGGGGTCTATATGAAAGAAATGTTAAGTTTCAGTTAATGAAATGTCATTTTTTTCTATCCATTTAGACCTTGGAACTAGGGGTTACCTGGTTAGAAACCTGTATAATTTGTTTGATACATTTCTAAGCAGACCTAGCTGTGTTGAAAGCAAATAATTACTAGGAACACCAAAATACAAACCCCCAAATCCATGTTCTACTGCTCAAAAAAGGATAGGCCTTTCATTAAGAGTGTTTTGAGTTTAAACGGGTTTGTGATTGTTTGGTACTAGACTGTCGTAGCCTACTTTACAAAATTTAGCTTGTTTTATTGGTGGGCTTCTGATAAAGTGTAGTTTGGAGCCTATAAAGTTCCCTTTCTCCAAGCTGCTTCTTGGTATGTTGATGCTTCCTGCTCTGAGAACTGCATTTTGAGAATCACTGCTCCAATACAAAAGCACCGGTAAGGAACATCATGAAGGCACAATAACAGGAAAAGAAAAAAACTGAAGGACAGAGAAAGTACAAAGTATACTGGGGTCTTTCCAGCAAAGCTCACAAACCTCTGAGAACATCATGTTTTCAAAGTAACATAGTACAATAAATTCATGTTCATTTATAGGCTTGTAATCATAAATAGGTAACTTACATTATTTCAAGGTCACATACGTTGGGGGCAGCTCTTATTTGTCACTTTAGTTTTTGAAGGTGCCATTTTTGTGGAATTCTTCCTCACATGAATTACTTCATTTCCCTTTGGTCAAATATATTTGACCATATACATTTGGTGATCTGGTTGCAGTGTCATAATTATTTTAAAAAGTCAAAATACGATTTCTGCTAGTTCCACCTCCCAGATTAGTAGGGATCCTTGAAACAAGAGAATAGGTCTTCACAAAGCAGAAATTGAAGTCATATTATAACTATTCCTTTTTTCTTTCTTCCTATAGGAGGATCTCCTTATATAGCAGCCAAAATCAATGAAGCTAAAGATTTACTAGAAGGTCAAGCTAAAAAATGAAGTAAACGTGTGATGAATTTTAAGTTCTTGTTAGTTCATGTGTATGAGTGCTAGCTTTTTATAATAAAATGCCTCAAAGCTACAAATCTTAAAAATGATTTAACACTATCTAAACCAAAGCTTTGATAGAAGTTTCTTCTTAGAATTTGGAGATTTTAAATCAGATGATACAGAATATTTGGAGATTTAACACTCAGTGATTATGGATAAATACATTCCATTTGAATAGAAATAGACCTTCTCTGGCTTTGAAGGAACCGAACCCCCAATTTAATGGGATACTGAAAAACTGGAAATTAAAACACAATGTGATAAATTCTGCAGTGGAATTCACACAGGTTGTTATAGGAGGGATTTATCTTATTGGGAGAAAACACACAGGTTTTAATAGGATGGGTTTATCTTATTGGGAGAAAAGGCTGCTTAAATTTGAGAAACCAACCTCACTGCTTAGATACCTTAAATCTTAAGAGTGAGTTTAGCCACAACTTTGACCATTTAAGAAATACATCTAACTCTACACACATATATATGAATTAGAATTTAGATTTCATACCTTAAAAACTGTAAGATTTGACAGTAGAGGTCTTGTTTTTAATCAAGAAGTATTTCATTGTATTGAACTAGCCACTTAAAGAAACTGACAGTTTATAAATTGGGTTTTTTTGTTTTTTTAAGTTTTTCCATTTGTTATGACCAAGCTTAAATACAATTAGCAAAACTAAAAACCGAAATGTGCTCAATTATGAAAATATTCAGCCTGGAGTATTGGAAAATTTGTAAGCTCCTATTTAAATGACATTTGAGGGTAAATGGCTATTTGTCTAACAAACTATCGTAGGATTTTTTTTTTTTTTTAATCGTAGGATCTTAACCAGAGGACCTGTATAAGAACACCTGAGGTAAAATAGTCTGTGGCCACCAGCAGGAATATTTTCTTTAGCTCTAAGATGTTAATTTATACTATCATGTGAACTTTATGTCATGTTAAAAATTCTCATAAATGGAGAACACAAAACTTTCAAGGTCAGATCAAAATGGTGGTAATCCTATTTAGTATTGGAATGTGTTTACCTGCACTTCAGATTAGGGTTATATCCGCCTTCTCCGTTTCCTTAAAATCTGATCAAGTCCACTTATGATTTAGAGTAGGAGAAAACACCAGCTTAAGGCAGCCATGGCTTTTATAAAGTTGGATAAATCTTTTTAGTTATTTCTAGAGATAAGGGCTGTGAAGGTTAATTTGTTACTCAAAGTAGTTTTGTTCTGTGAAGTTACTGGAACACTGAAATTAGCAAATGCTGAACCATGTGTTCATAGGGGAATTAAGGTTCCTTTGAACCTCTGGGCCATGTTTTTATCAACCAGTCAATATATAGCTTTGTTTTAGCTGTGTTTCATATATAAAGACATTTATGTTGTTGATTCATTAATGTTAAACTTGCAGCCAGCCCTAACACCTGTCATTACGTCACAACCTTCTTCTTGTTTAGGACTTCACTAGGCTTGAGGGCCATCTTAAAGTCCCGAGTAAGCACAAAAATGTGAAAAAGTCGGCATTAAATGGACCATAGAAGGGATGCTTCTTTACAGTATGGTAACGGAAACAAGGCAAGCATCACTTTGGGCATTGGGTGATATAAATTCTTCACCACTCTGCATGTCCCTGAGCAGGAAATTAACTTGGGTGTTAATTCTGGGGTTACAAATAAATTTTGACAAGTAGGTGAATTTGCGAACAAGGACTCTAATAACAGGATCAACTAAATTGGCTTACTAACCTTTTCTTCCCTTTTTTTGTTACTAAATCAAGTTTTAAGAAAAGATACCAATTAAAACTTTTAAATTAGGGGCGCCCAAGTGGTTCAGGGCATGATCCCCGATCCAGTCCCACATCAGGCTCCCCATGAGGATTCTGCTTCTCTGCTTTTCTCATGAATATAATGAAATCTTTAAAAAAAAAATTTAAGTTACAACAAAGCAAATTTTTGAAAAACACATGGGAAGTGAGAGAACATGCACACAGGCGAGCAAGCATTAACTCTAAAAGGGCAAACTTCTATACTGCGTATGCTTATAGGTGTTTAATGCAAATAGCATGCCTGTTTTAAGGCAAGTATTAAAACAATGAAAAATGCTTTTAAAATAACACTAAGCACAAGAGCACGTTTTTCTTTCATAGTCATCAGTTTTATTTCTTCTAGGTTTACCTTTTCTAAGTAGAAGAATCTACATCTCGTAGAGTATGAAGCAAACTTGCCATATTTTTCTTGGGAAAAAGTCACCTGTGTGAGGGTTCCTGATCATAGTGGTTAACTGATGCAAGTATGATCTGTATTGAGAGCCTCCATCTTTTAATTTTTTAACAAAATATGTATGTATAATGTTAACATTTATTGACTACTTACAGTGTACTAGGATTGTGGTTTGGCAAGCAAGGAAACAATAGGTTAAGTAAGGCCCAAAACAGTATCTGGGTGACAAGGCTGGTCTTTCTCAAATCTAAAGTCCATTCTGTTAAGCTGTACTGTGATATCTGTCACTAATTTGATAACCAGGGATGGCTTGGTGTTTTTTTTGTTTTGTTTTTGGTGGTAATGAAATTTGAATCTGGGAGCTGTCATTACTTTGCTTTGGGGCCATTTTATCAGTAGGCACTCAAGACTTTTTTTTAAGGGGGAGGGAGGTATGAACACAGTAAGACACAGGAAGTGCACGTTTCAAGTCAACTTAGGCAGTAATATCCAGGCAACTTTGAGTATACTACCTAATCCTTAGGCCTCTGCCTCTCCACCTGTTAATAAGAACCAACTCAAAAAAAAAAAAAAAAAGGTTCCTCCACATTTTATAGGTAGGAAAACAAAAAGAGCAAAGTATTTTGGAGGTTACACAGCTAATGAAACTACAAGCAAGCCCGGGGGGTGTCTGATCCAATTTACTATGTTCATTTGAAACCGTTCTCGCTATATTGGTTGAATAGGTTACAGGGGAATTCCCACCCACAGTCTTAAATGTTAGATCTGGCATACTAGAGATTAGTTCCCCTACTTTGTCCCTTCCATTTTGCCTTCACTGCCTCTGGGTTGACATTACTAGAGGACACATGTGGCTTTGTAAAAAACTCCTTTGCTGGTGATCAAAGTGGACTATGAGTGGTCCTGAAAGCTAAATCCTTTCCTACTTAGAATTTTAGGAAAATTCTCTTAACATACTTCCCAAATGATGGGAATACCTATGGAAGCATTAAAAAAAAAAAAGTCCAATTATACAAATCAATATCCCAGAACACCCAAACCATTCAAGAAATGAGAACTTGTATGAAACAGGTGGCATACTCATGCCTATATATTCTAATTCTAGATATTGATAATAAGATTTTCTCTGCTAACCTTAACAGAAGCTTTGAAAAGGGTCTCAAAGGCAGGTAGAAAACCACTAATTGGAAAAAATCAGGTAACAAGCATCCTAACACAAAGGTAAAACCCTAAAGCATGCTGAACTGTGCCACACTAAAAAGCTATATTCAGCCTATTGAAAATGTATGCCTACCTTAAAACCTTGCATCAAAAATAATTCTTTAAAAAATTCACTCAGGCAGAATGCTTCATTTAAAGAGTTGACAAGTGAGATTTTAAGTTTCCACACTGGCTGAATACAGAATTGTTTCAATGGGAGAGCAAAAAGGATAGAAAAAATTTAAATTTGAAGTATAAAAAACGTTATCTAAAATGCTTGAATGGGTTTTTGGTTATAAAAAAGAATCCTGAACTGTGAGTAACCTTGAGTACCAGGAAACTTAAATGACCTAAGCTCTGCTTTTTGTCATTGGCACTGTTGTTGAGTACAGTGTGTCTGCTTATAGCCAAATGTTGCCTTAGCAACAGGATCTAGGAAGAGCTTCTATCCAGTGTTACAGATTATTTCTTACCCAATGAAAAGGTCCATGGTCTAGTGTTAAGGTATAATCTGAAATGTTAACATTTGCTGTTACTTTAGTACAGCTGCAATTAATGGAATTTCTTCTACAGTAATGTTCACATTTTTCTTTACAACCTGAAAAGGGCAGGTTCAAAAGTGAAACTCAACCAGGTCGAAGCAGCATAAGCTCCAGGCAACAGCGTAAACTGGTTTATCTACAAAAACTATGGGAAATATTTTCTAATACCAAAAAAATATGTTATCTACTTTTGACAACTCAAGTTAAAAAAAAGGTACAAAACATTTGGAAAATATTCCTGTTAATTTCACCCCAGGAAAAACATACCAATCACTAAAACACAAATTTGAGCTCTTCACTAGTATACTTAGTAGCAGGAGCAAGTATACTTTGCATACAGTTTAGTTGTGAATGTCTGGTTTAGGTACATAGAAACTCCCAATTCTGTACACCAATACCTACAATTCTGAAATTATCAAAGAAATAGGCAAGTCAAATGGACTAGTGGAAAAATCCTCTTACCAAGATTATAGCCTGCATTATAGTCCATACCTTATTTCAGTACTTCAAGTAGTGAATATAGAAGGTACAAAAGAATGTCAATTTAAGCAATCCACTGATAAACTTCTTCAAAAATTATTTCCTTAAAAAAAATAATAAAAATTATTTCCTTAGTGTTACGTACTTTCCTCATCAAGAAGGGATTTTCTGGGTGTTAAAAGACTCTTGGATTTCTAGAGTAAATGATTATACTTAGAAATGTTTTGAGCAACACTGAGCCATAGGAAATTGCCACTGGGTCTAAAATTGCCAACTATTGACAATTTTGTATGGTTCAACATAATCTACTTATTTTCAACCAACAGTTGAGTTCAACTTCAAATTACTACCATTTGCCAAAGTTTATAGCAGACTATGATTGTTGCTTTATTACAGATCCTGAAAACCCAAATGTTATTAAAAGTAGTAACTACTATTAATTCAAGAACACTTAAGAACTAAAAGTTTTAAAAAGGAGTCACCAAATTCACTATACCAGATATCCTTATAAAAGTTAACAGGGAGCCAAACCATAACACCAAAGATAAACTAAGTGAGGCTTCAACCAAACATCCTTTTGCATTTTGAAATTTTGTCAAACACTTATATCCAGTTCAAATCCAAGTTCTTCAGCCCAGGGCATGATCCTGGAGGCCCGGGAACAAGTCTCATATCGGGCTCCCTGCATGGAGCCTGCTTCTCCCTCTGCCTGTGTCTCTGCCTCTGTCTCTCTCATGAATGAATAAATAAATAAGATCTTAAAAAAAAAAATCCAAATGTAAAAGTTTCCTTTACCCTCATTCCATTATCAATCTCCACCATCTGCCATAGACCTTCCTGCATCATAGCTAGTTTTCCATTCATCTGCCCTCAGTAGACCAAGTTTATTGTAGACACAACCTAGGAAAAAACTAACTAGGTTGGTTTCAACCTCAAAAAAGTAGAAATCTGTGTGAAGACAAACGGTACTATTTCCCAACCTAATTGCAACATTCAGTTAATATACCAACTCCGTAGTGACCTTTCTCAAGTTACTCATTAGACTCACAGCAAATACAAAAATGCCTGTGACTTAGCATAAAGGTAATGGATCAAAGCTACAGAAGAATGGCTGCCATGGAGAACCGGAATACAAAAAAATGCCAGCTACTTTTGCCTCTTCCTTACTAGCTTAGTGTATGTCCTTAGGTTATTTTACTTGCCTACATGTACCTCTGTGTGTGGGTTTTTGGTTTTGTTTTTTTTGCAAAATCATTTAAGCAATCTCCCATAACCTGGTTCTAAGGAATGCCTGTACGGTTTTCATGAACTCATCAGTTTGATATGCTGCTTCTCTTAACCTACAACTACTTAAAATCTGATCTACCCCTATTATAATTTTACCAACAGTAACTGAGCTATCAACAAAGACCCCTTTACACCATTTTGCAAAAGTTTTAGGCCCAATGAAGTCTTTAAAAAGGTGATGCCAGGGAGTGCCTGGATGGCTCAGTCAGGAGAGCAGGTGATTCAATCTGAGTTAAGTTTGAGTCCCATGTTGGGGATTAACATTACTTAAAAATAAAATCTCTAAAAAGATGATCCCAAACCCAAGAATACTAGGTTTCCCAAGGCTCCACCTGTGGTTTCATGTAAGTATACTGAAACAATGTAAGGACTACATAAGACCTTTATACATATAAATTTGAGGGTCTTCTAGCATGTCCTAACTTACCAGTAAGTTTTCCCATAGCAACATCTAACTGGTGTAGTAGCCAAAAAAGATGCACTCCTCTCAAAATAAATCGGAACATATTACTTCTGTTGGGGAGTAGTAGGCTTTTCACTTCTTGATCAGAGTATATGGGATTTACCCCAAAAAAGCCTATCTTGGGAGTGCCTGGGTGACTCAGTCGGTTAAGCATCCAATCAATTTTGGCTCAGGGAAGCATCTCAAGATTATGAGATCAAGCCCCAGGCATCAGTCTCTGTGCTAGGCGTGTGGAGCCTGCTTAAGATTCTCTCTCTGCCCCTCCTTCCCCTCTACTTGGGGGACTGGGGGAGGCCTATATGGTTCTGCAGTACACAAGACAATAGGTTTAGTTGATTAAATAATAAAATCTTGGTTCTGATTTCCTAGAATATGGTTATTCTAAAGAACTGCTTGCACTATTCTAGGATGGTTTTATGTTACTTTCTCAATAAAATATGGAAGAAGGAACTTAATGTATCTATTCCATATGAAAGAAAATGACAACTCATTTTATCTTTTTACCATATTTACCAATTTGGGAATTAATGAAAATTCTCATAACTTATAATTAATCTGTAACCCTGTTACTGAAAAGAACAAGAGTTTTACTTCTAACCTTTGATGGTTAAAAAAGGTGTGTGTGGGGTAAGTTTTTAAAAATGAGAGTATGAAATTATTTGGTACCATTTTAAAAATGCAGGGATTATGCTATTCATACCACATCTTAACTTATAGTTACCAGGGTTTTTTAGGAAAATGCATTTAATACCATCACATCTTAACTTTGGTGACAGTAAATTTGAGATGTAGGGTTATATGTACACTCACCTGGCAAATTAATACATTTTTAGCAATACTTTGAATTGTCTTTGTTATTATAAATTAACTAAAATCACTTGAAAGTTTTATGCACATTATAAATTAACTAAAATCACTTGAAAGTTTTATGCACATAACAAATTAAGACAAATTATGCACATAAAAAACACTTCAACACCAAGGGTTGTCTTTCTTGCTCAGTTGCCTATGCGTTATTGGGGGGACCCCTCCAGTAAACCCACTTTGGTATGACCTCCCAATTATCTGCGTAATTACTCTATCATTGTTACTCTGAACACACTTTATGTGAAGTCTTTATCTTCTAAAATTAAGCCATGTGGCTAAAATAAATACCAAAAAACCTACAATCATTAGTATGACAGCCTTCAAAATTATTTCCTTATAGAATCAAAAACCAAGTTAATGGTCTATTTCTTATTTTAAAATTGCTCACCATTCTTCTTTATAAAAATAATTTTTAATAAATTATCAAAGACCAAAGCAAAATTCTGGATTTTACCCCATAGCCTTCCCAAAAGTTGCCTTTGTAAGATTATAAAGACTTGCCTAATAAATATATGATCAATTCCCTAAGCCAATCTACCCCAAAAGACTAAATTTTAAGTGCTAAGATTTCAGAGGATTCATAACAAAATGATTAACTGACCAATATTTTAGTACTATTTATGAGCAAGTATAAATGCTTTTGAAAAAGCAATCAAGATGACTATTCTAGGCCTATTACTAGCTCCAGCTACTTTGCTACAATTGTTATAAAAAGTAAAAAGTTAAAAATCAGCAAATGGAAGATCAAAGTTTATTTACTACCTGCATACAAAAACATATTGCACATCAAACAACCAAAATCAAAAAAAAAGGGGTGGGGGGGAGAAAAAGGAAAAAAAAGAAAAAGGAAAAGATACTCTACTGAAGACTAACATGTACTTTTATACAGAATAAACCTCCTGGAAATTGATCTTTTCAGTAGTTCAGGTTATGTCTGAAATGGACAGGACTAATTCAGCTTAGTGTTTTAACTAAAGCTATGTTTGATTTTTAAATACTGTACACTTTAATAAATAAACCAAACAAAGCCTCAATGTAGAACAGTCACTGCCAATATCACCCAGTGTCCCTGCAGATGAGAGTTTAACAAATGAATTCCAGTGGTCTGCAGATTTTTCCCTACATACAGCATTTAAAAAAACACATTAAAACAGACCAGTTTCCAGACTAAACTAATGGAGAAATTACAATTCAGTGCAAAATATTTTAGACTGCATTTCATTCTAGTTTTCCTCAGGTGAAGAAGTGGTTGCATATTATTAAAAATGTAACAAAAGCAGCTAATGCTTTCATAAAGATATTAGGGATCCCACCCCACCCACCTCCCCCCATCTCTGCCATATTTTGAAAACAAAATAACATTTCCTATAGCCAGCAACTTTTTTTAATGTTACATATACTATTCTCAAGGCACATCTGATGATATATTTTATAACACAGTAGGTGTCAAAGTATGTTTAACATATGATTTCTTCAGGATCCCTCCCCTTTCTGAATTCCAAATGGAGGAACTGAAAGTGCGATGTAAAGACTGGCGATCCATATTCTATCTTTGGCAAGCTTGTACAAGCACTATTGTAAAATGTAATGTAAAAGAACTGTAAACTAGGAACTTCTTCAGTTTATGAAACACCATTCAGGACTGCTGCTTCTTGAGTGTTTTCTTCTTTTAAGGTATTAATCTTTTCTTCTCCTGGAGTACGCTGTAGCTTAGAAATTTCATCGCCAGAAGCACTAGTTGGGCCATTTATTGCCTTTTCTGAAGGACCATGCTCTTCAATCACATCTTTTGCCTGCCAAAGGGAGACAACTTTTTCAACTTCTTTATAAATGAAATCTACAGCTGAGGAGGAAAACAGCTATATAAACATTAATTAGCTAATAAATCATTTTAGTTCCATAACCACATTGGATCAAAGAATTAAAATGTTCTTAAATTTTCAAAGCATATACCAATGTACTCCACTTTTTTCATCTCTACCTTTAGTACCTAGCAGTACTAAATCAAAAGAATCTGTACTTGTTTACTGAAAACTTGAACCTAATTTAAACCACTGGAAAACTCATCATGTAAGACACAAAGTTAACACCCTAAGCACATAAACACCTATTTTACTCACCTTTTTTTTTTTGAAATTCACATTTACATTTCAAATCCCTTAAAGCATTTAAAGAATTGAAACTTAAAAGGTCTATATCCATCAATGAGAAGAGGTATATAGCCTATTGCTCCCCCAAAATTAAGCCAACAGTCTCTATGCCCAATATGTTTGGGTAGACTGAATTTTACAAATGCTATTTGGAATTCTAAATGAAAAGTATTCCAGGCTCAAGCATGCATATCTTCAGTTACCTGGGGCCAAGAACAAAATCAAGAGTAGTCTTTAAAATATTATTTGTCTAGTTGGGGAACAAGTGATCGATCATACAGTAAGTTAAGTAAAAATAAAGCTAAACCATACAAAAAAAAAAAAAAAAAAACAAAAAACAAAACAACAAAAAAAAAAAACAAAAAACAACAAAACCTACAGGTTAAATTCTCCTTACCATTTCTTTCTTGTTTTTAGCCAAAGTTTCCCTTGGGAGGTTTCTTTGTCTGCTCTGAGACTCAGCTCTAGAAATATAATCTGCAACTGTGACTGTTGAAGATGAGAAAAAAATTACAGGTGTTGAAAAAATATTTCTAAAGTTTATTTATGGATAAAGAGTAATTTTACTTTTAAAATAAACTGATGGTGGGTAACCCAATTTCGAAATTTTAAGCGGGGTACCACCTCCAACCAAAAACAAAACTTGAAAAATGTGCCTGTGATTTAATGGTGACAAGAGAAGATTCCAAGCTGGAGATCCAAGGAAGCCCAGATTAAATCTGCTTTCACAAGAATCCAGCCATTTCTTCTGGTTGACTCTACAGTTGTGGGATATAAAGTTTGATACAGAAATCCACAACCAAGAATAGGAAATGCAGCATTCTAAGCCCAGTGTTTGCAACTCTCAGTTGGAAAAAAATGGGGCATATTTGGTACAATCATGGTGTGCTATATATATATATTTTTAAATTTGAAAATTCATCAAAGATATAAAAGACTTAAATATTAGTCGGGTTAAAAAAAAGCACAAGATATCCAAATGTGGTGTTTTTTGGTTCCCTTTTCACATTTCACACCAGAAACCATTCTGAGTGATCTAAAATAAAAAAGTACAAGCAAACTAAAACCACCCTAAAAATGTGAACAATGATCCTGGTGGGAAAAGGGCCACCATTAATTCAGTAATCCCCTCTTCCCCACTTCACAATCTTTCAAGAGACTGACTGAAGCGTATGTGTGTTTGCAAGGGAAGTGGATGGCAACACTGATAGAAGACTACACCCTTGGGCCAACCCAAGTGCAACAAATGATCTCTGTTCTACAGGTACTCTGGCCTTTACACCTCAATCCTTTCTCTTTATGACTTACAACTTAGAATTTACTGATTTGGAGAAGTAGCAAAATATTCGCTCTCTTTCAAGGAATTGTTTTCTCCCAGAAACTGGTGAGGAAAATCTCTGATTATATGAAATATGGTATATTTTAATTTATAGAAGAGCAAGTTAATGTAAAGAATGAAAACTCAAGAAAATTTTAAAGTATTTATTAAAAGTCACTAGGGGAGAAGTGGCCCATCAAGTTCAAATTATATGAAAATAAATCATTTTGATAAAGAAGCTGGATAGTATTTACAATTCATTTTTTGTGAACATGGATTACCATAAAACTTTTATTAAGATCCAAGAATTTTCTGAAACTATTAAATGAATCTTAATCTCAAAGAAACCACTGAATTCAGAATATAAACAATTTATAAGAAACAGCACTAAAGATGTTTCCTGTCTAATAAAACTGCCTCTTCCAAATTTTAAGAAACCTGGTGTGCTCATTTTTGGAGCTTTTAAAAAAAATCATTTAAATCCACTCTCAATTTATAAACACAGTTAATAATAGTTTCCAAAATTGAGAAGAGGCATACTATCATATCCATTTCATTATGATGTCTACATACATGGTGGCAAAACCATTAGATCTGATTCTAGTTTGGGGAGCACCTTAATGAATTCATCCTGTTTCCATAGTTCCACCCTCAGTGACACCTGAACCCAGCTACTTGCACAAACATATTGCTAAATTTGAATATTTGATGGTTCTTAGAATCGTCATCCACTTCTTCCACTATCTACACACAGAGAACAAAAAACAAACCCTGCTGACTCAAAGCCTGTCTACAGCCAATCCTTAAAATACTAGCCATTTAAAAGGACAATAAAGATTAATAAATATTTAGTATCTAGGAAAAAATATAGGGATTTGTGCAGCATAATTTGGACTGCAGAATTTCTTTCTAAGGGTCCCAGGTAAATCAACTGGACACAAGTGCAGAGTCCCATTCCAAGTATACTAAGGAATATTCATTCACTTCTTAATTTATACTAAAGACGACAAAAAACTTTGAGCAAACGAGAACAAAATGATTGTGTGTATAAGGGAATATTGATATTTTTAGATGAGGCAACTTTTCTAGAAGTACTGCCAGGGGCAAGAAGAAAATGATGTACCTGTTCCACTAATGCTACCTTAAGGGGCTTTTAAAAGTTGGGGGGAGGGGAGAAGGCAGGACAAGAATTTCTAAACAGGAAAAGCAGCAATTCCAAAGAACAGTAAAATAGGAATAAATGCAGTATGGAACACAAATCATCAAATCACTGGACATCCCAAATTACTCAGGTTTCACTTAATATCATGCAGAAATGTCTCTACCTCTTCAACACCACTATGTCTTTTATGTCCACTGACTTGGTAATAAACCACCATTCACAGAGTTAACAAATTATGTTATCTACCCTATGTTAACACCCCACAATGATAGCGTGAATTTTCTTATGTATAAAATATGGCAGAAATTGCATTCACTGCCATGACAACTTTAAACAATGTAAATATGATCTCTCGATCTAAAGAATATTTCTTTCTAACACTACAAAGAAAGTGAAAAGAAAGGAAAACAAACACTTTCTGGAAACCTTCTATTTGGACAATATTTAATTCCTTTTAAATTTACAACTATCTTTAAAACATGAACTTTTCTTCAAGAGTGGGAACACCTTTAACCAGTTTTCCCCAATGTCTCTACCACCACTAAACTTAAAATATTAAAGATACTTGAATTTACATTCTTTATTTGGGGAAAACACACCCAAGAATTTGCTTTGGAAAAAATGCAGAAATTGATTAGTTTAAAAGGGGTTTATTTTTGGTGCACACAATTTCTTCATTGTGAATATACACGTGATTCTCTGTATACAGGAAATGGAATTATGTTCAAAATAATATAGACACAGCAAACAAGTTTCTTTGAAGTTACTAAAAATTATGACTACTTAAACATTCTAAAACTAATAAATAAGTACTATTAATTTGAATAGTTAGTAGGTGTAAGGGAAAAGGCATCACACTACAAAAAACAAACAAAACATAACATGCATTCCTCTTATTAGAAAAAGACACTTTCAAGTTTTTTTTCTCATTTATACTTTTTTTTTAAAACTGTGGGTATTAAAATTCCCACAAAAATGAGGTGCTGAATCCAAATATAGTAAGCAGCACCATGCAAAAGTTGCCCAGTTTTGCCAATCGACCTCAATCACAATCTACAACATAGTCCCTGGGGTGGCAGGCCCAAACTCAAGTATAAAGAATCTGCCAAGTGGACAAAATAATGGTTTTCTCAACAGTATTTCCATGGAAAAAAATTAAGACACAACATTAGTTCAATTAGACAGGTTACTAAACATTTACGGAGTGAAGGAAGAATGCATTTTCTTAAGAGTAGTAGTCTTATTAGTTGAGTAAACAATTTATGCAATGCACATCTTTGAATGTATATGCACACATGTGTACATGTAAGTATAATATATTTAGAAAGCAGACACATGACATTTTTTCATGCTGGTGACCTGGTGTTGTCCACAGGTCCACTCAAGTTACCTGGCTGTCTATCTTCTGCCTGACCCCTGAAACGACGCCTGCGGCTACGATTGCGTCGCTGGGGTTTTTTTTCACTATCATCTGTAATTGCAAAGTTTACCATGAACTATACTGACAAAAACAAAAACAAAACAAAAAAATTTCTTTCCTTCAAAGATTTAAGAAAGGGTAAGAGAATCTTTTAATTAAGCAGGGAAGATAAAACAACATACATTACTGACAGAAAAATAATTTTGTAGTTTTAAGCATTTCAAATAGATTAAAAATGGAATCATCATCATCTGGAAATTAAGAGGGTTTTAACTCTTAATTGAACAAACTCCACAACTTAATTATCATCATTCAGGAATAAAGTCTTCCTTTCCAATACAATTTAGGTTTTTAAGCAAAGTTAACATTTTAGCCCTTTGGAAGTTAATGCCTACTCAATATACATACCTTCACTAGTGTCGTTTATAATAAATTTTAAATAGGCAGCTGAAAGCCCAATTTTGGTTTAGGAACAATAAACTGCCTTGCAGTTTGACTATCTGTATTGATTTAATGACATCAAAGGGCACTTTAAATAAACCCTTCCGGTTGCAAATAATAATTTGGCTATACGAATCTGAGAACTAGACACTTCAGACAGATACAAAGCTATCTACCTTGTTTGAAGTAAACACTAAGAAAAAATCAATATGCAAATTGCATTACGTTTGGGATTATTTTTTGAAAAAAGAATCATACATTAATATTATACAATAATGTATCTTTTCCCTAAGTGCTTACATACCTAGCCCATTTTCATTAACTGAAGCTGTATCAGATTCAGTCATCCCATCCATCAGAACAGCATCTTCATCAGTCCTTCGTCTACGAGACCGCCTACGACGGTTAGTACTGTGATGAGATTCGCTGGCATCAGTGTCTGCAGTCTGATCAGATTCTGTATTATCAAGTAAGCTGTATGGATTGCTGTCTGGATCTTTGAGCACTATATGCATGTCAGAGGCAAGAAATAGTCGTTTAAGAGAGCTGCAGTCATTAGTAATGTTTTGATCTATATTGAACTATATCTATTAATGATAAAGAAACTTCAATTCTCCCCCCTATATTCTGTATTCAAATGTTTTCTGTATCACTATTTTTCCTGGAAAACAAACATGAAGAACTCCAAATGGCAATGAAAAATTAAAGATGAGCTTATACCCTCACTTTCCTACCATTTGACTTCTTTTGAAAATTTATTAGAAAATAGTATATTGTTACATGCTATTTTTGACACAATTTTAGCTAATCCTGCCCAGAGGCTAGAGAAATGAAAATGAAGAGAAATAAATATTCAATTTTGCCCCCTTTATGGAGTTCAAGGTGTTGGCTGCTTCTTTGTACTAATAATGGATTATTCCCAGATAACTCTCAACACCTGCACTCCATGGCGTAACAGAAATGTTACTGAACTGAAGCAATCAAAACAAGTCTACACAAAAAAGCAAAGTAAAAAAACCTTCAAATTCTAATTGGTTATAGGAAAATACAGAAATGAATGCTGACTAGTACTCCCATCTCCAGAAAAAGAAAGCAGGGTAAGGTGGGGTGAGGGTGGGAAAGGGAAAGTTTTAAGATATAATTTATAAGAAAAAAAATACCCATCTTACCTATGTGCATTTATTGCCTCCACCAAATTATAGGAGAAATTCACCTAATCACGATTTTTCCTAAGTTTCCTTTGGTAACAGCTAGCAAGCTAGCATCTTTGCAAAAGACACTAAGTTTATCCATTAATCATAAGCACTAGGTTAAAGTACATTTATTGTGCAATTCAGCATTACTACAACTTTATAAACCTTGGTAATAGTGAGCATTGTAGTAAAATATAAAAAAAAGTATTTCCCTAAATATCTATAAACTAACCTTAGGGCTCAAAATATCACTGGAACTAGAGTACCTTTTAAAAAGCCCTAAAATTTTATGATTTGTTCCAGATTTTTATAGGTTGTGAGCACGTGTGGTATACATTTAATTATATATATGTTCTATAACATTTAAAATACTATATAAACTTTCAAGTGGTATACAATAAAGATATGTAAAGGTCATATTCTGATATAATCTGGTCACATATAGCTGACAATTCTTTCCCCAGCCCATTATGCTAAACAAAAACATTCTGGCAACTTCTACAAAAAGACACAAGTAAGAAGTTGCTTATGCACCTCAGTTCTCAGTCTTCTAAACAGCCTTTACAGCTCAATTTCACAAAAAATTTAAAAAATTTTAATTTCACAAATTTTGTTCCCAAAATAGTACATAGTACAGCAAAAAGTCTTCCCAGTTAATTTTCAATGTTAAGTATATAAAGTTATTTAGATCTCTCTGTGCATTAGAATTTTCTGGGTCTGTCTAGCAAAAAGAAATAAATAACCCAAATATTCTGGAGAAAAATATACAATCTAATTAATCATATAAGCCCTCCCCCCAAGAAACTAGAGAGAAATCTTTGACCATCAAAACAGAATCAGCCAACCAAAATTTCTCTGACCTAAATATTCTAGCTAAACTTTCACTGAGAAACACCCTAGAGGGTTTCTCCTTATCTTGCCATATGCTCCACTACTTTCTTCATGGAAAAGACACTTCCCAAAACAGGTGGCCTTGGGAAATGGATTAACTTGTATAAAGTTACACTGTTTACAAAGTAAGGATGCTGACATAGTATATAAAAGACTACCAGAACTGATGGAGGATTTGCCACCACGTGGTCCACCACGACCGCGACCCCCTGAAACACTTCTCCCTCTTCCTCCTGGGCGTCTCCTGCTGTCACGCTGATGTCGGCTCTCTCGATCATCTTCTCCTGCCAGTGACCAATCACTCAGCTCATCTTTACGCTCAGATTCTGTTTCAGAGGGGTTAGACAGCTCAGAGTTTGTACCTTGGGAAAGAGAACATAAGCCAATTAGATTCCTATTTTTTTTAAAGGTGAAAAAAAGGAGTGAAATTTTCCAAAATTATTTCCTACAAAACATTATTTAATAATCCTAATTGGCTGATTAAAAGAAAGCTAAAAAAATTTTAATCAATCTGAAATTTACTAAGTAATAATAACACACTAATATTACACTAGTAATACAGGATCTACTAGTGGGAGATTAAAAATTGGTCCAGATGTATGAAATAGAGCCAATGTAATATTAAAGACAATACAAAACATTAATATCCAAATGCAGTTAAAATGGGGAAATAATCAAAAAACTTTGCCCTTTTGGTTTTAAAAACAAATTACTATAATAAAAATAACTGCTACCCAATATTTAAAAACCCAATATTTAGAAAAAGGAGTAGTCTTATGTAAGTGTACTCTCTTCCATTATTTCAGTGATTTCCAAGGAGCATTTTTTCCCCATATTTTAACATTTCTGAAATCACAGTTTCTTGTAATTGATGGTCTCTCATAAATTAGAAGTGTATTTCTAGTGGCCATACAAAAACTAATTGTTTTATGAACAATAGTGGCTTAAATTAGAATACACTATTTGAAATCACAGAACAAATTTTAAGAATTTTGCTGAGAAGACAACTTTACCTTGACAAGAATTTGTGACTAACGGTTTACAAGACCATTCTTAAGTTTCCAATGACCTATTTTAATATTGACCTTTTAAAAATTTAAACACTGCAAATATTCTATAACAGTTTGCAATATTATTACTATTATATCACAAAGTGTCAGATTTAGATGACTCAATCACTATAATACTCCCACTTCTATTCTTTAATTCTGGAATGCCACTTCTACCTCCCCTCTCCTTTTTATCATGTATCTAAACTTATCTCCTCCAGAGGCCTGTTCAATTTCTAGTTTTAGATCAGTTTACTGAAAACAGACCTCTTCTCTCATTTTATTTCCTTAAAGCAATATGTATCTATCATGCAATGTTGTCATGTGTTGCTTTCCATTTTTTGCCCTTTGGATTTACGTCCCACATGGTCTGTATTTAAATGGTAGAGCTCTCTTTTCTATCACTAAATATCCCTAGACATCTAACAATATGCTTAACAATTCTCTCTTGATAAATAAATGCTGCATGATTCTGAAGGTCTCTTGCTTATCTATTCCCAAATAAAAGTGATTCCATGATAAACTACAAGTTCCTTACATTAAACTCTAGTCATCTGATGATGAAAGTAAAACATAAGAACTCTTCAGATGCACAAAAGGAGTATTAAGGTACCCAGAATAAAATTTAACAAATGATAGAGCCTAACAACTTCCTATCTCCTTTACAGATATTTTTTCCTTCACATGACCTTAAATATAGATGTAACCATTCAATTATATAAGAATGGTTTAATTAGTTGGAACTAATTTTAGAAAAACTATAGCAAGTTTCTAGTATTCATTAGGATTGAGAATCGTGGGACTGCATCTCCCAAATATTTCTCCAAATGACAAAAAAAAATTCACTTAATAATGCCATGTTTTGTTAGAATAAGGGCAATTTATCATTTCAGGAGTAGTGAAAACATCTTTTGGAATGTGTAAGAATTTTTTAATTTAATGACAAGCCTATACACTGCCAAAATCTCAAGTACCATTTTTCAAATTTTTACGAAAGTCCATGTTGAATTTTCTCTAGAAATAGAAATACAGTGGATTATTTAACTCAGTGTCACAAGCAAGGAAATTATTCTAAATTTTAACCTTAATCTAGTATTCTAAATGGTTAAAAGGGGTGGTCCAAAACATAAATAGATCTCCATAGATAAGATGCTAAAGTCAAAAACAAAAAAAAAAAGGGCTAATGAATTGGCTAGTGCTCTTGATTTATTCATATTAAATAAAGTACTTTTAAATGTTTCTGGGATGGTAAAAGGGACTTTGCAGATGTGATAAGGTTAAGAATATTGAGGTGGGGAAATTATCATGGATTATCCTGGTGAGCCAAAACTAATCATATGGAATCTCAGCTGCAGAGAACCAAAGAGACAGAACTCTGCAGTCACTGGCTTTACAAGACAGAGGAAGATGGTGTCATATGCAAAGGAACGGAGGTTCTCCCAGAAGCTGGAAATGTTACAGGATCAGATTCTATTCTAGAGCTTCAAGAAAGGACACACAGCCTTGCTGACACTTAATTTTAGCCCAATGAGACTCATGTTTGACCTAGAGAACTGTAAGATAATAAATCTTAAGCTTTTAAGTTTGAAATTTGTTAATGCATCAGGCAGCGCTGGTGGCTCAGCAGTTTAGCACTGCCTTTGGCCCAGGGTGTAATCCTGGAGACCTGGGATTGAGTCCCTGCAAGGAGCCTGCTTCTCCCTCTGCCTCTGTCTCTCGTGAATAAATAAATAAAATCTTTAAAAAAAAAAAAAAAAAAGAAGAAGAAATTTGTTAAAGCATCAAAAGAAAACACTGCTGAAATCACTGCGACCACTCTTTTAATTTTTCAAAATATCAAGTGCATTAATCCAAAAAATTTTTAATAGCTCTAAAAATTATTCATGAAACTAATCCAATTTTTAGGAACTCCAACAAATAAAACCTGTTTTTAACAGAATTCTGAATCACATTTTCCCCTCTAAAACTTCTAAAATCACTTATGAAGATGCTTCACATCCTTTGAGTGTTCACGTATGCTAAACTTAATTTAATAGCTAAAGTACATTTTATCAACTTCAATAAGCCTTCCACTCATTTTAAGACAGTGTGTGTGCCATTAAAGAAAATGTTGCCAATTAGCTTTAAAATCTCATCCATTCCAAGGACATACCAACTTCAGAGACGTTATGAGCAAATATTTCTTATACAACTTATCACCTAAATATCCTGAAATTAAGTATCCTGAAATTAAGTATAACCAAATTCAAATGGTTTTTCTCTCAAGCTCACTTAAATTCAATAGCTATTTCAAGAAATGCAAGTTTCAGAGGTAAGAGTGCCATCTACTGAACAACTTGCATAACTTACTTCAATCCAGATGAATCCTCTACCACTCAAAACCTTTACTAACTCGTAAAAATTTTATCTACTGTCAACAAAAGCATTTTGCAAGAGACTGGTCCCATCGGTAAAGCTGACTTTCCAGAGAGGCTTAGAAAAGTCTTCAATGAATTCATTATCTTATCATCCAAAAAGCCAAATCTGATTATCTGTACTAGTAATTTGCATCTCTAGAATCATTCAGTATTTCTCTTTAATTACGGGTTAACTGTCTTTTTTATGAAATGTATTTTCAGGAATACAGTTAATACTTTGCAATTTTCTGCCCTTCAAATGCTTTACTAAAATTTTTCAAGTTTCAATACAGAGTTAACTTTAAATAAAAACTACAAAACTACCAAGAAATAAGAACATGGAAATATATGAAAGAAAAGGGATAATTAACCTTTCAGCTCTACAATAAATGAAAGGGCAAATTTAATATAATTCTGGCATCATTAGATGATCCTTCAAACATGAAATCTGGATGTGCAATCTGCATACTCTAAGCTTTTATGTTTATCCATTTTCCCTAAAATATCTTCAATTTTGGAAAAAGCTTAGGAATTATTTCTCTAAAGCAGTTAGGATAAGCATTGAGGAGTGGAGAAAAGAAAAGGAAAAAGAAAGGGAAGAAAATGAGGTAAGACAAAAGTCAGGTCACTGCTAAGATCCAAGTCCAAATGCAGAAAAATGGAACAACTCCAAAGCTGAAGAAGAATAAGTGAAAATTTAGGATTAGAAAATTGTTGACCACCACCATCCACTAGCCCCTTCCTATATGGGTTACAGCCCCATCCTCACACTGAAATACATTTGAGAAAAATATATACTCATTTATAAAATGTTAATTTGGTTCTGGATTTTTAAGAAGCCCTCCTAGTGAAATGTTATTTCATAAAACAATTCCAAATGTATGGGGGAATCCCTGGGTGGCGCAGCGGTTTGGCGCCTGCCTTTGGCCCAGGGCGCGATCCTGGAGACCCGGGATCGAATCCCATGTCGGGCTCCCGGTGCATGGAGCCTGCTTCTCCCTATGCCTATGTCTCTGCCTTTCTCTCTCTCTCTCTCTCTCTCTCTCTCTCTCTCTGTGTGTGTGACTATCATAAATAAATAAAAATTTAAAAAAATACATACTTAAAAAAAAATTCCAAATGTAAAATTATTTATATTCAAAATTGCCAAGTGATTAAACAGAGTACATTTTATAAAGGTAGTACAGATGTGCTATACACAACCTTAGCACACTGACTAGAATATTTTTCATTTTTATTTTCCATGGAAGGTAGGCAAAAGAGAATTCCTAGAGGGACCATCACTAGGTTTTCATATGTATACGTTTTTGTATACAAATATGTATATATAAGCTCCATCTATATTTATTCTAAATATTTAGAATATGATCATAAACTGCCAGCGTAACAAAAACATGTCTAATTACACAGCTGCTTGAACAATATACACCTTTTACTATATGCCTTCACTATCATACACATAGCTCAAACCCAGCTCCTGCCCCCAAAGCCAAGGGATAAAAACAAACTAACTAAATAATATTTAGCAATAATTTTTGAAGATCCTAAACTAGAACGACTAACAAAAAGAAATTGGTTTTTTACCATAACCGGAGGTGTAATTAGGGCCCCGACGACCTCTGCCTCTTCCACTATAAGACCTAGAACCTTGTACAGAAGAGACGGTACTTTCATCAGTGGCATATCCTTTTTCTTTTTCAGGCCCTCTGGTGGAAGAAGGTCTGAAACCCATACCAATCTGTCGTAGCTGTTCATCAATCTGTAGGCGTTCCATTCTTAGCTGTTCTACTTCCTATAAGCAAAACAAAAAAGGGTAAATATTCTATGTTGCACCATTTTTACCTTCTTTAAAGCCTACAGATAAAGCTATATTCTCTATCAATGAAAGAAGCTGTGATTTTGGCCAATTATTTGGTAAAATACAAATGGGTGCCTAGTAAATACAATTCACAAGGTCATTGCTGACTCAATTCACTAAACATTTACTAAATACCTTAGCAAGCTCCAAGTATACTAAGTGCCACAAGCATACAATAGAGAAAAAGACAAGGACTTTCCACCTTTATGGCTATGTTTAACAGACAAGCATTGAAATAAACTATTCGTTGGTGCTTATGGGGCAGAATAAATGTTTCTTATGCTAGAGCAGTATTCACAGTGTGAGTTTAGTTCCTAGCACTAAATATGAATGAATGAATGAATGAACAAATGGTGATAGACCTAATAATGACACAGTATTACCAGATTCAGCCCCTCGAGAAGTTAAAACTTTGCTGAGATACAAGTACCATGTATGAGAGGGACTATTAACCTACTTTTCCATCAAAATGTTGACATCTGAGTTGTGGCCTAGGAGACTTGGTCATTCAGAAATTGAGGTCATTACAGAATGTGAAGGTAAGGTGACCAGACAAAGCTCCTGGCTAAAAGGTAGCAGAACACTGGAAGATAAAGCATGAGCTTTAAAAATGCCAGACCGAATGGAGATTTTAAACATGAGTTTTAAAAAAAAAAAAAAATGACATCATAAGGTGTGCTTTCAAAATATTAACAGAGCAGCAATGATATGAGTGACTAACAAAGTAAAACCTACCAGAGATAGGTTTACAAAACTTGGTAGTAACAGATAAAGTAGAAAATGACAATTCCAACTTTTAATACATTATAAGCCATTTCTTTTTTTAAATCTTTGCTCTTTATCAACTCAAATAAATTATGTTAGAAACAATGGTGAAGAATTATCAAATGATGTCTGTGAGATAGGCACATCTGATTCAAATACCAGTTACCAAGAAAGCCTATCTTATTCCCTGTCCTCTACCGTATTTGCATGTAAAACACGACATAAAAACAAAGTGATTTCAGTACAACACATGTATACATATAAGGTGATGACAGTCAAATTACAGCAACACAAGCGTGACCCTTTAACAGAAAGGAAAGAATATAAAACTTCAGAGAAAAAGAGGAACAATGTGCATAAGAGGCCATTCATTTTATTATGGCAACAGACCTTTTAACTTCTCATGTAGGAAAACAGGATAAATTTGAAGCTGAATTAACAAAAAATATTTAATGACTTGAAATTTAATACAAATACAAAATTGATTAATTTAACATGTGAAGCAACAGTGATACAAATGTGAACAGTATACAAACCTTTAGGTAAGCAATATGATATTCTAAAAGAACTTGCACATTTCCAATGCTTTCTTTAGTGCCAACGAATACAAATGGAACCATACCCTGTAAGAAAACGAAACATCCTCAGTATTTTGTATTTTAACAAAGTTCCAGCCTAAATCTGACATACCAATATATAATACAGAAAACTTTCCTAAAATAGTGATTTACATCTACTAAAACACAAGATTTACAAATAAACTAAGAATAAAATCAATATAATTTCAAATACTGAGGTTTTCAAGAACTCATTGTATTTGCCCTACAACTTAAGTATGCTAAAAATTTAAATTGCTTTTACAATATCAGTTTATATCAGATTTTCTAATTTCTAATTCAATCTTTCTCCACATATAAAGTACCTTTTAAAGAAATTTTCCTTCAAACTGGTATAAATTTACAGACTTAGACTGCCCTGGTAGTTATGGCTTTAAAAAGATAAAGCACACTAGAGCTAGGCTATCCCTAATATGTGCTCACGTAACAAAACTGTCAATGTCAGTATACTGGAAGGAGTGCCTCCTGACCATTTACAGAAGTGTCACATACAGAGTACAAACATTTACAAATATACTTCCAGCTTTCTAATGGCTAAGGAAAATGAGTAAAAACCTAAATAAACTCTCCTAATCAGTTTCAGTGTCTCTCACTTGATTCTACAGGTGAGTTCCTAACAGCTATTTAAACAGACTGGCTTAAGAGGGCATGAAAAAAAGGACTATAAGTTTAGGAAGTAAGAAGTCTTGACCCTATCCTCAGGAATTCATGGGCAGATAAGAAAGAATGCCAAATGAATGAAAGATGGAGGAGGGGTAAAAAAGATCTATTATATTTTAAGCACATACCATGTTTCTAGTAGTGTATTATTATCCTATATCTGTATATCTTATTTAATATTAAAGAGTAACTTTAAAAAATACTCCACTTAAAAAAAATTCTCCAATTTTACCGTTGACAAAACAATTTGCCCAGTCATACTATTAGCAAGTGGGCCAGCCAATTTCATACCCAGTTACCTAATCCCAACAAACCACTTGTTACTTGCCAGAATCTCCACAATGAAAAAGGATCAAGTCCCTATTCTAAAGGCATTGGCAATTTACAGAAAAGATACTAAACATTCCTGCAATAATCTTACTGTATAGCATTAGTGGTATCAATGAAAAACATAGAAATATTAAGTAGAATGTGGATTATGCCACTCCCAGATGTGGAAATTTAGGGGAATTCCCAAATTATTAAGTAAATGTTAAAAACAAACAGAATTTTGCCACCAAGTAGGTAAAGAAGTCATTCCAGACAGATGATCTGCGAGGAATAAGAGAAATACAATGCCTTGAACCTGAATTTGAGATGCTACCACCAAGAGTTACCACCAAAGAAAAGGACAGGTGGGAACACAACCTTAAAGACACATTTTACAAAATATTTTAATCGCTGCTATAAAGCCATAATAAAAGATTTCAGGAAAAAAATTATTACTGAATATACAAATGCGTTTCTAACAGTTATTTCAGTGAAATTCCCAGATTTTTAAAAAATGCCAATACCTGATTACTTAATATTTAATGGATTACACTGACACTACCAACTAGCACTTGGGAAAAATAAAGCAGGATCCCTGGTTCCTCATACCTTATACCCTGCCCCCGCCAAAAAATATATATATATATATCACACTGAGGTGAAAAATTTACACACTTAAAAAAAACTAGAGAATGAAATATTAAGGATTTCTAAATGTAGATAAGACCTTACCAACCAGGACACAAAGTGCAAAAGTATTAAGTCATAAAGCAAAAGTCTTAAAAAAATACAATATAAAAAAATTTATATTGGAGGTGAAAATCAAGGAAAAAGAGTACTTGCTACGAATAGGAAAAGACAAAAGACTAGCTTTCTTAAAATGTAAAAGCTCTAACAACTTAATAATAAAGGCAAAAAATATGCAAAAGACAAGATGCTTAACAGAAAACTTAAAATGTCTTAAGCATTTGGAGAGAAAACATGTACACCTTCTGGAATAGCACTAATTAAAAGTTTGATGAAACTCTATACAGGCAAGTTATGTGGAAAATAGGCCCATTGCCGACACTGACGGAAGGAATGTGTGGGAAAAATAATATCTAAATATTGAAATGCCTTTTACCCTTTGATCTAAAAAACCCGCTTCCAGGAATTTACTCTGCAGTGGTAAGGGATATTTGCTGCAGCACTGTTTTTAGTAGCAAAACAAAGACATGAAAAGGCAACCGACAACAGTCTAAAATCTATTAGACACAATAGAGAGGAGAAATATGGACAGGACATAGATACACATTTATTTTTCACGCTATACTTTTCTGTGCTGTTCTAACCTTTATAGAACTATATTTCTCTAACAGTGAAAAACTCAAAACCAATCTTAAAAACTGAGTGGAAATATTGATTAAGCACCTAACTCTATACACTTCATAGGGCTAGAGAAAAGCAGAGAATATGAGAATTCAGACTTTCTTCATTTCAGAGTTCATAATGTGGTTGGTGAGACAATAAACATAGGTTGAGAAAATCATCAAATACACAATTATACAGATAATAATTGCTATGATACACAGGTGGGATAGGTCATTTCAGGCTAAAGATGGGTCACCAAAGACTTCAGAGTAAATAAATTATAAACAGAGTCTATCAGCGCATTAAATTATGAAATGGTGGCTCCCAACAACCTTCAGGTTTGTTTTAACTTGCATTGTTCTGAATATTTTTAAATCCTGCATATTATTATAGGTTTCCAGTTTCTCTTATCATCAAAAGATATAGCAACATGCATGTGTTCTCACATGGCAACCACATTAAAGCTAATAAGCAGCACAAGCTTCTTTTATAGAAAGGGACCATGTACCCTCCTATCCCTATCTTGTGTATCCCAACTTCCTATTTAACAAACTACTTGGTTTCTATAAGCATTTCAGTTTCTTAACCCTGGCACAGAAATGGGAGGTAACAATAACCAAAACTGCAAACAGTAAAATACAATAAACTTATTTATCAAGAAAGTCTTAAAAGAATCAGCTTTATAACAAAATGTTAAATACTGGAAAGCAACAAGAGATTAAGACAAGGTAAAAGAAGAATAGATACTTCTACCAAGCTAAGAAATTTAGAGTTGACTAATATAATGGCCCTGATCAGTAAACATTTTGATATTCAGATCAATTTTAGGAGTGGTCGTATGTCAAATTATTTTATACATTAAAAAGGGGGGGTGTATAAAAGGGTAAAGTGCTAATTTTAATGACACTTTGATTTTAATCCTCCTCTCAAAGGAAATGGGAAGGAGGGCTGCTTAAAGAGTAAAGGTTGAGATTTATAGCAATTTTGGAAGCAGTATAAGATGAAACCAATCTGAGCCACAAGTACTCATTTCTGTAATACTAAGTCATCTGTTTTCCTCATTTGCTTTTTTTTTTCCTTATATATTGGAATTAAAAGAATAATTCAAGTGGTCCTTTAATAGGCATCTTTACAAATTCAATACTCGATGTGAGGTTATCTAGGCTAACATGACTAGTTTTTTTCTTTCTTTTAAAGAAGACAAATTCTTTCCAATAGGCTAACAAGCTCTCCAAACCGTAATCTATTGTGCAGAACTGAAGCTGCTTCCTGGGAGATAATTTAGGAGAAAATCCTTGCCTTGAGAAAATCCTTGCCTTATATTCATAGGCATATAAGCTTTAAGCCACCGTAGCCACCAAAACAAGAGATCCTTAAAATGATGAGTAAAGAACAGCATTGTAGACAAAACATATTAACATGCGAGACAGAAAAAGAAATTTCAGAATGTTGGTGTCATAATTAATAGCAACACAGAAGCTTAAAAGATTTCAATTAAAAAATGATTGTTTTCAGGGAATCCCTGGGTGGCTCAGCGGTTCAGTGCCTGCCTTTGGCCCAGGGCGCGATCCTGGAATCCTAGGATCAAGTCCTGTGTCAGGCTCCCTGCAGGGAGCCCGCTTCTCCCTCTGCCTGTGTCTCTGCCTCATCTGTCTCTCATGAATAAATAAATAAAATCTTTAAAAAAAAAAAAAAAGATTGTTTTCAGATTCTAGAAAAGGTTAAGTTTATAGTTATTTACTAAAAATTCTTTTACGACAAACTTTTAAATACAAAAAAAGAATTCTTACAATTATCAAATTAAAACCTTTTTTTCCCCGAAAAAATTTGCTTTTTACTGGAGTACTATGAAACCAAAAATCCCAAGGCCTACAACTGAAAGATGACTTGTTTCTAAGCATGTAAAGCAATATTGTGAGGAACAAAATTTAAAAAAAGAAGGGATTCCTGGGTGGTGCAACGGTTTGGCGCCTGCCTTTGGCCCAGTGCGCGATCCTGGAGACCCGGGATCGAACCCCACGTCGGGCTCCCGGTGCATGGAGCCTGCTTCTCCCTCCGCCTGTGTCTCTGCCTCTCTCTGTGTGTGACTATCATAAATAAATAAAAATTTAAAAAAGGGAGGGAGGGAGGGAGGGAGGGAGGGAGGGAGGGAGGGAGGGAGGGAGGGAGGGAGGGGAGGGAGGGAGGAAGGAAGGAAGGAAGGAAGGAAGGAAGGAAGGAAGGAAGGAAATCGGGATGCCCGGATGGCTAAGGGGTTGAGTGTTTGCCTTCAGCTTAGGGAGTGATCCTAGAGTCCCGGGATCGAGTCCCACATCGGGCTCCCTGCATGAAGCCTGCTTCTCCCTCTGCCTGTGTCTCTCTGCCAATCTGTGTCTCTCATGAATAAATAAAATCTTTAAAAAAAATAAGAAAAAAAGAAAAAAACTCCACTGCATCAGACCCTAAGTAGTTTACTAAATACAACTCACCAAAATGATTTCTAAAATATACATTTTTTAAATTTTTTATTTATTTATGATAGTCAGAGAGGGGGGGGGGGGGCAGAGACACAGGCAGAGGGAGAAGCAGGCTCCATGCACCGGGAGCCCGATGTGGGACTCGTTCCCGGGGCTCCAGGATGGCGCCCTGGGCCAAAAGCAGACGCTAAACCGCTGCGCCACCCAGGGATCCCGATTTCTAATATATAAAATAATATCGTAAGTCAGGCAAGAACAAAACATGGTTTTAAAAAACAAAGAAAAAGGCAAATTAAATTACATGTTAAAGGGGCAACCCTGGTGGCTCAGCAGTTTAGCGCTGCCTTCAGCCCAGGGTGTGATCCTGGAGACCGGGGATCGAGTCCCATGTCAGGCTCCCTGCATGAAGCCTGCTTCTTCCTCTGCCTGTGTCTCTGCCTCTCTCTCTCTCTCTCTCTCTCTCTCTCTCTCTCTCTCTCTCTCTCTCATGAATAAATAAATAAAAATTAAAAAAAAAGATTAAAAAAAATTACATGTTAAATACTTACATCTTCTCTAGGTAGTTTATTTTCATTGTCTCCTTCAATCCTCACCCGAACCACACCAGATTTGTCCACTATTTCCTGAATAACTTTGCCATTTTTTCCAATTACTTTTCCTTTAATAAGAGAAAAAAAATGTAACAATAAGTTAAAACCAATACTGCTATTCTTCCAACACCAGCCCAAGTAATTTGACTTGCTATCAAATTTAAAAAACCAAGCAAAACTCCATTTTTTTACTCAATATATTCACCCTGAACACTACAGGAATTTTATCTTTGCCTCAAACTTCCTTCTCTTCAGAATGCCTAAGGTTATTATTAACTAAGATTGACACGCTGCTCACACGTAAGACATTTTCCAAGTCTAAACATTTTTTAATGTGCTCTACATCATTTCAATATTTTAAAATACCAATGCAACCCATTCCAAAACTATGGACATACAAAGGCAAAAGAAACACTTTATTTCGGCATTAATCATATCAATTTGTTTATATTAAATTCAATCTTACTTTCATATTCAAGTTTCTATTCGAACAAAACACATCTATAACTTGAAGATACTTTTAAAATGAATACTCTCTTCAATGAAATGTTTGCACCTAACATTTTTCACCAAGTACTTCATAGCTATACAAGTACATATAGTATGTATATAGTATGCTATATTCCTAGGTATGAAATACTATATATTGACATAAAATCCAAATAATTTACCTTCTACCACACTTAACGTGTATCAAACAGCAGTTACGGAGTATCCAATAACTAAAAGAGAAACTAAAAGGGGGGTAAGGAAATTCTCTCCCTCTTAGGAACTTACTCTTCTTACAAAGATAGCAAATTTGTAAAATAGTAAAGCAATACTGGATAAGGTTACCTGATAACAGAAGTAAATATTCAGGTAACCTTCCCTGTATGAAACAGATGTATCCCTTATAAAAGTTAAGTCCAAATCACTCTTTTTTAAGTAATCTATTTCCAAAATAAGTTAATTTTGGTTGAAAGGGGTTAAAAATGGAAGTTTTTCCTATTGCATGCTTGAGAAGTCAGTTTCCACTGACAAATAAGGGAAGAGTAAATGGGTCAATACAGCAAACACACCATTATAAGATTTTTTAAGATTTTCTAACCCTATTCTCAAACCTCCTTCCCCACTAATAACCCTAAATTTAAAAGCAGCAATTGAACAGGTAAAAAGAAAAATAGAGTAGGACAGGGAATTCACATGATGTAGGTAGGTCTTCTCTGAGCAGCCCTAGCAGCAGTATATAAAAGCAACCTTCATTGTTAACACAGTGAAGCTCAAGCAGCAACTCCATCCTTGACCCTGCTAAAAATAAGCAAATATCTTTCGAAAAATCAAAAATCAGATTGATATATCATAATCCCTCCCCCAGAATCTTTGCCCCTTCCTTCTATTAACTATACCAGTGGTGAGTGTACATTCATCACCTTTCTGGGGTCTGTGGCAGGGACCTACCTGAATGTTTTATTTAGTCCCACCAGAGACCGTCAATATTTTAACTGATCATTTCCAAAGTTTAAATTCCAAAGCATATTGACAAACTGAAGCAGACCTGTAGTATAAATTGAGCACTGAGCATAAATGCTGAAGGGACAGAGTAAAGAAGTGATTAAGGAAGGCTTCCAGGAGGTGAAACGTTTCATTTTTAAATCAATGTTCACATATTTTTATTTTGACTTAGGAGGGGAGGAAATGGTCAGGGTCTAGAATTCTTAGAGCCTGAATATATAAGAGAATTCTCTTGAACTTACCCACCAAGTAGTCCTCATTCCCTTTTACTCCTCAGTCCACTTTCTTTTTCACTTGTACTAAGAATGTACTATTTTTCAAAAGACTGCTTCACCCATAAAATATTTTGGAGGGAAATGTAGTATTATTATATACAACAACCAAGAAATCTTCACACTACCTCAGAGTATTTCACCAATGTATACAATGGTTATACTAATGTGTATTTTCTAAAGGGTCCCAAATAACCCAAATCACCAAAGCAAACCAAGAGAGTAGAGGAAAAAATAGACAGGATCGGTACTCACATCACTGCACAGATAAATGAATAAAGAGAAAAACCAGAGAACTACAAATAATTCCAATTTCCTTATTTCTGAAGTATCAGGAATTTTTACTCAAATTTAACACAACCACAAATTCTGTAATAACAACTCTATATTCTATAGAATCAGGTTGAAAAGAACTCTAATTTCCTTGCACACCTTCATCTCCAAATCATTTTTACAAGTAAAAAAACCTAAGTTAAATTATGTTCTATAAAGCAGCAAGCACAATGTTAACTCCTAATAAGTATCAATAATTGTGATTTAAAGAAAATAGGGGATTCATTTTCCAAAGCAGCTTGTCAAAAGTAATTTCACTGGACAGTGATAAACGTTTGATAATACTTTGTATCTTAATGTCTGTTAGAATTATATAAAGCTTCTTCAAGCTTATTCAACATCTCAACTCATCACACCAGCAGTTCAATCTACAGTGAACAAGAACAAATAAAATGGAGCTTACTTATTTGGTAGTATGTCATACCTATTCAAAAGCTTGGGTAAAGGTAAGAAGCAAACTAATAGTAAAAAAAACAAGAAAACTGTCCAAGCTCTTGTGCTGTAGATTAACTGTCCCAGAGTATACAAACTTGTTACTGGTCAAAACAAACATCTTTTTACAGTGGAAATTTGGGGCATTTTACCTACAGCTAAAAATTTTTTTTAAAAAAAATAAGATTTGACAAATAGAACACCTAAAACAGAAAATCATTCCCTAAAGGCAAAACAAGTGTAATTATGTACAAATAGAGTCCAAAGGACTCTGGTTTCAGTAAGGTCAAGAAACTAATAGTGGACAAAAACTCAAGCCCCTCCTAGGAAATGTCTCTGCTGCTTTATGTTAATGCTTACTTTTATAATAAATGTTTAAGATAATTACGGAGTATTAATACATGACCAAAATTTTCCCATTTATCTCAAACAGCATTTAAAAGGATAACACACAGGTGTAGAGGGTATTAATAACAAAGCTATTAACTCATCCCAAGCTATAAAAGCTCCTTTAACTACAGCTTAAAACTCAAAACTCTGTCACTTAACTTACAACCCATGGGTTAATAATTTCCATTAATGGTGTCAGATACTTAATAATGAAACTTCCCCTATCATCATCACCATCCTTCTCTCCTGCCTGTGACTTCTTATCATATTCTATGCCTTTGCAACAACCAAGTATTATTTATTCAAGACCTACTGTGTAGAAGTTTATTTCCCTATTGTTAGTCCACTTACTTTCTCTTTTGCACAAAAAATAAATATCACAAACACCTTCCCAAAAAATACTATGACAATTTTGATGGACATATATGAGAGATAAAAAGATATTAAGTGAATGGAGTATAAGTAGAGCAAGCCTAAGTGGTCAGATGGCTTTTAAAAAAATGTAGTGACACACTTATTAAAATCATGGTCTTATTAGTGAGTCAACCTGTACAGAAGAAAATTACTTTTTAATATGATAATAATGAGATACAAGTCATATACTACATTACTAAAAAATGAAAACAACTATCAAATACTCCATATAACTACAAATAAAATACATCAAACAAAATTAAATTTCAATTAAATTACCATAGAGAATTAATAACATTTAACTTAATTAACATTTAGTAGAATACCTACCAACAAGATTCCTAGGAACCTGAATAAAATCCTCCACGAATTCCAAGAAACCTCTAGCCTTTTTTACAGCATCAGCACTCTGCAGGAACAATAAACATAAAATAAAATCCTAATCCAAAACAAAAACACAAAAAATGAAAAATTCTGAATTATGCTCTGGTATAAGATTTTGCTCAGCCCACTAAAGTGACATTTCAGGTCAAGTAATTCATGAAGTACTTTAAAAAAAATTATTAAAGCATTAAGGAAAAAAAAAACAGACTATGAGAACATCTCTAAGGGAAAGGGAGGAAAAACCATAAGCCCTTTTAAGTTCCTATGAAAACAGCAAAGAGTTTAGCTTACTTACAGTAGCCAAACTTTAACCCAATCCTTAAAATATTTGGTCCGTACTTCAGTGTTAAATTTCTCTAGATGAATGTTAAATACAAATTATTCATATTGTCTATACCATCTGCACTATTTTTTCATTCTCAACATAATTTTAAAAAGCGGGTTTTGTGGAGATGCATATTTTTTAAGAAGTACTTATTGATAAAATCATTGAAAGTCCTAACTTCTAATGGGTATAATTTAAAAAGACTAGAAGATTGGAGAAGGGAGCCTTTCTAAAGGGAATCGGTAGTTCTCAGGAAGTTACCTTCCACTTTTACTGTTTTGGTTTTTTTAAGATTTTATTTATTTATTCATGAAAGTGGGGGGGGTGTAGGCAGAGACATAGGCAGAAGGAGACACAGGCTCCCTATGGGGAGCTGGACTGAGACTTGATCCCTGGACCCCAGGATAACACCGAGCCAAAGGCAGACAGACGTTCAACCCCTGAGCCACCCAGGTGCCCAGGTTGTTCTTTAGTAATGACAAAGTGTACTGTGGGCTCATCATCATATATAACACAAATATCTTTTAAATGTTTTTAATCCTCTCCAACTATAATGTAAGTACTACTCATTTTATATTGAGGAAAATTATGCAGGGAAGTTAAGTAACTTTCAGCAAGTTCACTCCAAGTGATAGAAACAATTCCTATCCAGGCAGTGTGGCTCCAAAGCCTTTTAATTACTGTATACTGGCCATGTCTCAAGTTTCAGAAATGAAAAACAGAATTCTAGTCAGATTCACTATATGACCCAGCTTTTCATGAGAAGAGCTTTGTATGAATAGTTAAGACTTCAGAGGTGCCTAGTGCCTCAGTCAGTTAAGTGTCTGCCTTCCACTCAGGTCATGATCCCATGGTCTTGGATCAAGCCCACGCTGGGCTCCCTGCTCAGAGTCCGACTCTCCCTCTCCATATCTGTCCCTCCTCCTCATTTGTGCTCTTACGCTTGTGTGCACACACGTGCTACTAAATAAAAATCCAAAAAAAAAAAAAAAAAAAGACTTGAAATTATCACCCCCAAAACTCATCCATTTATTCGAATGCAAAGGATGGTCGTAATGAAAAGTCTGAATTATTTTTGAGATTATTATTTCTAGTACACACAAATGTCACAATTAACCAATGACAAAACATTAAATTCAAGTTCTTCAAAAGCTCCATTATATGCTATTTACAACTGACAGTGCCTCACACACAGTAAGCACTCCAAAAAAAAAAAAAAAGGCGAATTATATGTAAAGCACATAAAATGGAGTTAAAATCAAAAGCAGGGGATGCCTAGGTGGCTCAACGGTTTAGCACCTGCCTTTGGCTCAGGGCATGATTCTGGAGTCCCAGGATCAAGTCCCACATCAAGCTCCCTGCATAGAGCCTGCCTCTCTCTCTCTTTTCTCATGAATAAATAAAATCTTTTAAAAAAATTTAAAAATAAAAAATAAAATCAGAAGTAGCTGGTTAAACGTCTGATAACAGTACACATTACTAGGTAAACCTTTTATTGTCCATAATACAATATTACTTTCAATCCATCTGTACACGTGTGTAATGATTACTACAGTTGACTGATTTTAAACTATTTCACTGGGAAATTAAAATTCCAAATAAAATATGGTCAAACAATAGTTAAAATAAAATAAAATAAAATAAAATAAAATAAAATAAAATAAAATAAAATAAAATAACCGAAGAAAAAAAATTTTTTTAAAAATGTTACTATGTTGAGGGACAAATAATTAGCTTACCTCTCCATAGATTCTAAATGTTCCAGTATCTTCATCTAGCTCAATAGCTGTAACTCCAGGAACCTTCCTAGCTTGCTGTATGTTACTACCATGTGTTCCAATTGCCAGGCCCATTAAATCTTCTCTCACAACAAATTCCTCATGAAAAGCTGCTGCAAGTTGCTTTGTGCACTAGTAAAAGAGGTATATTAGAATCTATATTACAAAAAGACCAAAATATTTTTTTATATACCCACGTTTGTGGTATTCATAGTAATCAGGAAGAAGCAGCAAACCAAATGTGCCCTGACTGAACAGATAAACAAAATGAGATATAAGCATACAAAATTATTCAGCCTTCAAAAGGAAACTCTGACACAGGCTACAATGTGGATTGAAGACAATGAACTTAGTTAAAATAAGTTGGGAACAACAACAACAAAACTAATACTGTATGATCCCACCTACATGAGGTTTCTACAAGTAGACAGATTTATAGAAACAGAAAGTAGAATGCTGGTTGCCTGAGGTGGGGGGAAGGGGATATGGGAAATCGTCTAATGGATATAGTTTCAGTTTTGCAAAATGTAAAGTTGTGGAAATTGGTTAACAACATGAATAGTCTTAACACTACTCAAATGCACACTTAAAAATGGTTTAAGATAGTAAATTTTATGTTGCATTTTACCATAATTTTTTAAAAAAACAAAAAGAACTAAAGAAAAATATAAGATACTCATTTGGGATATAAATAGAAGGGGGAAAAGTTTGATAAAGTGTATCTAATCATGATCACAGAAAATAATAATTCTATAACAATTTTCTAGAATTACTGATGCAAGGAGTTCTCCAATTCAGATGATTCATTTTTCAAAACTCGCTCACATATCCCTCGTTTGGAAATTTTAAATTAGTAGGGGTATTTAGAAATTTGTCCTAAAGACAAACATACCTCAATTTCTCTAAGATCTGAATGTGGTGCATTGGGAGAAGGGGTCTCCTAACAGTGCGTCAATGAAGAATAGGAGAAAACAGAGTAACTTAGGATGGTATAGAAAAGCAACAACAGGCTTCTTTTTTAAAACTTACATCTACATGCCCTCCTCTCCACTTACATTAGTTATTATAGTGAACTAGTTACTAATGGAAATGTGTTATAAATGACAGCTGAGAGGGTAGTAAAAAAGGTGAAGGAAAGAGTAAAGAAAAAGTAGTAATACAGTTCTACTAGATATTCCCACTGAATTTCTAAGTTCTGTGACACTTGCTATCTAAGTCCTAACAAAAAACTCAACAGGTATTTAGCAAATGAAGGCTACGTTTGGGGGAAAGTAACAGAAAAAAATAATTACTCTAAAGGTACAATGACTCCTATTAGCCACAAAATAGGTCCCAACTTCTTGGCTTACCTAACAATCAAGCAGTTTGAGCCAGGGAACTTAAATAATATACTTATGAAAATAAACAGGATACACAAAAAACCTTTTGAATAAACCCACTTACTTCTAAATGCTTAGTGGCCTCTTCATTTCTGGACATAAGCATCAACTTCGTACGAATACTTCGCAAATGCATGTCACTTAAAATATTTACTCTCTTCACAGTTGCTTCGCTGGCAGACTATGAACAAAGAAATTAATCACTCAAAAATCGCATTTTTTAAGGTAATACGAACAAGGACCTTCCACATAAAGTCTTCCTTGATTCTTATCTACTACACTTCTCTCCTCACCCACCATTCCTCCTCCCACAGGTAATTTACCCCCCTTTACTGAATTCTCATATTTAGTTCTATTTAAATTATGATGGGGGAGAGGGATGGGAGCAGGGAAGGATCTAGATTCCCATACATTAAGAATTTCATATTGTTAAGAATATCATATTGATCCTTTTCCTTACTCCATGAAAGATAAAAATTTAACATTTTATAGCTCTAAAAAATTTCTTCCATAAATTAATAAATTCACTGTATACCAAGTTAGTTTTTAACTTTTCAAATATTTAATTATAATAAAATCTGTGAAATATCCATTGGCTACTTTAAAATATGGAGTTATCTTACCAGTATCATTAGCTGTGTGGTTTCTGGATGGTAAAAAATTCTGCATGCTCCTACTGCTTTCTTAAAATCTTTATGTGCATTCTCATTAGCACACCTAGGGAGAAATTAATTCATATTTAAGACCTAAATAATAGATTAAACTCAGAAGGCAATTATAATGCAAATGAAGTATTTCATTTTGACACTACCTATTAAAACTTTTGTTTACTAAAAAGATTTTCTATCATAAGTTTTTGATTGGATGTTTGGGAAAAAAAGATTTTTGTGGCACTAAAAAAATCCTCTTAATTCACAAGGCAATTCAATAGTAAACAAAATTACTCACGCCTCTCTCAAATCCTCAGGAACATCCACTGTGCATTTAAAGAAGGTATTTTTTTTGACAGTTTTATTTTGATTGACAGGCCGAAGTCGTTCAAATGTGACTATTTCATTGTAAGTGGCATCACAAGCAGCATATTCAATGACATAAAACTAAAAGACATCAAAATACTTTAAAAATCCCATCTGAACAAAAATAATGAGCTTAAATGAAGTTCTAATTGCCTTGCTCAGCTTAACCAGTAGACCCACCCCCTTGTGGCACAAATACTAAGCACAGCTTAGTAACATCAATCTGATTTGCCTAAACTAGATTATAGGCTCTTACAAGCATGAACCTTGGTGGTCCTCACATTCTTGAAGTGCGTCCCTGAAGAAAAGCTTAGATGTTTCCAAAATCAGAAAACAAATAAAACTAAATGGTCTAATGAGTTTTTTAAATGTATGGTCAACTATTTCCAAAGGAGATATTTTGAAATAAAACTAAGAATTAAAGTAATGTTTACAGAAACCAAGAGTTGAGGTATTTCCTTGGAAACTAGTCACAAAGCAAGTGTAAATATCACTTACTTCTCCTTTCATCATTCGAACTTTAGCCAACCACCATCCACATGGTTCTTGGTCATTTGCTCTTGAATATACCTGAGAAGAGAAAAAAAAAAAAAGGCCTTTATCCATTTATTCTGAAATATTTCAACATTATAATGACTTATTAAAAATGCAAAATCCCACTAAACTCTACAATCAAAAATGCCACTGCACTAAAAGTGCACTAAAACATAATTTAGGGAGTCACATGTGTTTAAATTTTACTACTGAAAAACAAAACAACCCTTTTTGGGCAATTTGGCTCCTTGGAAATCTAATTCCAAATTCATGAGTGTTTCCAAACATAAATTATTAAAGAATGCTTCTCACAAAGCAGTTTAATATAGTATAAAACTGAGTTCTTTCAATTTGTCAATACTATTCATCTTTAAGCACTATTCTGATGATTCAAGTATCAGACACAAGGATATGCTAAAACTAATTAAAGACATTTTAAATCTCATAATGCTATTTTTAGAATGCTAAAATAAACAGCTGTTTTCAAAAAGTAAGAAATCCAATTTTAAAACCTTCAAGGATAGGATTCCTTCCTGACGAAACTACATCAAATGCAGTAAAATTGTTCTGTTGAACAATAAATTTAAATTATACACATTTAGTACATCTAGCAAGGTACAAAAGTATCTTATAAACCTCTTTTGTGGGGCAGCCCCGGTGGCGCAGCGGTTTAGCGCCGCCTGCGGCCCGGGGCGTGATCCTGGAGACCCTAGATCGAGTCCCATGTCAGGCTCTCTGCATGGAGCTTGCTTCTCCCTCTGCCTGTGTCTCTGCCTCTCTCTCTCTCTGCATCTCTACGAATGAATAAATAAAAATCTTTAAAAAAAAATAATAAAAAAATAAACCGGGATCCCTGGGTGGCGCAGGGGTTTGGCGCCTGCCTTTGGCCCAGGGCGCGATCCTGGAGACCCGGGATCGAATCCCATGTTGGGCTCCCAGTGCATGGAGCCTGCTTCTCCCTCTGCCTGTGTCTGTCTCTCTGTTTCTCTCTCTCTCTGTGACTATCATAAATAAATAAAAATTAAAAAATAAATAAACCTCTTTTGTGAAAAAAAATCTTCTATGCCCTGTATTCATAATTATCAGGTATTTTGTAAAGTAACACATTAAGAAAGTTTCCTTTCAAGGATTAGAGTTATTTCTTATGGTACAGTATCTTGATCTATTTTTCAATACGTGGAAAACTAGGGGGATGGAAGAAAAGACAACCAAGAGGAACTCCATAAAAATCTTTATTATATGACCGAAGGAGGTCTCTGCAGAGGAAGACAAGAAATCTACCAACATACATTAACACTTATCTTTGGTTAAATGCAAACAACTACTGATAATAAGCAAAGTTTTGGAATGCTGGAACCTTCACTGAAGTGATCAGAGAATAATCTGGGAAGTGGGGGAATACTAGAAATGTAACTGGATATTCAAGCCAAAAGCTCATAATCAACTTCACTGTGCACCATAATCAGAAAGAAGACCAACATAACAGTCAGGCTCCACTGGACTCAATTTTAGCTTTGCATTTCTTTATGACCAAATCTATTTGTAACTCTTATCTTTTCTTATACGTCTCCAAAAAAAAACAGTAAATTTTACTTCTTTTTTAGATTAAAACAAAATTCATCCTATCTTGCAAATTATTTTATGTATCCAGTGGAACCTCTTATAAACCTACAAGGAAATCTAATGATCTTGTTTTTTTCTGTATCTTGAAACACTTTACTATTTCATCATCATTCATCAATTATTCTCAACTATGCTACAAAAAATGGCTAGAAAAGAGAAGAATGATGGTATCACCTGGAAGAACACAACAGTGAAATATAGCGTTACTACTGCATCATCCTGTAGTTTCTTTACTGCATAGTCTTTCAAGAAATAATAAAAAGACTGGAGACATCATTCTTGCAGTCTGCTTTTGGTTTTCACTCAACAGTTAAGAATTCAGAATTTTTAATTTTCCACCCATAACTGCAAAGACAAAATTCACAGAGGAAGGGCTTTCACAATTATCAGAGGAATCAGGACTGATGAAGAGACAGATAATAGCACGCTAGATTCTAATGGTGAATGTGAAATTATAAGCAGAATCTCCCACCATGAAGCCTCCAGATGATGAATATTCCCAAACAATATACTTCTGAAGAGAAAAAGGAAATTTAGTATCCTCACCCAGTTAATCATTCAAACTGGGACAAAATCCTGCAACAAGACTCTGGACCATTCTGTTTTTCTAAAAGGACATGTGACCATATCCTCTCATCTTTTATGATTGTGCACCAAAATGTACCTCACACAATTCCTAAGTGGACAAATGCCAAAGGCAGCTGTGTATGCAAAGATGACTAGAAAGAAACAAATGATGGAGACATGCAAAAAACTCAATGGATTAGTCGATGCAATTGGTTAAATTTGAAAATGATATAATTAAAGCACAAGAATGATTATGCTCTCTGTTCAATAAAATTAGAAGCCACTAAAATTAGTTCCAAAATATTCTTAAAGTACTGCATTATAATAATTCAAGTATAAGATGAATCAGAATGAAATGATCAACTAGAACTTACTGGATGTGTTTTAAATTTGGTATCAGTATTTGTAAGATGAATTTATTCTGGGTTTAGGCATAATAGCTTATGTGTAATAAGTAATATTTTAGAGACCTGTACTCATTTTAGGTATATGCATTATCAAAACCAGGAAAATATGGAATAAAAAGTTCTTTTTGCCATGTCTTTTTAAAGATTTATTTTATTCCAGAAAGAGAGAGATGGGAATGTGGGGGGGAAGGGGTGTGGAGGGAGGAGAGAGAAGCTCAAGTAGACTCTGCTCTGAGCAGAGAGCCCCAACAGGGCAGGCTTGATCTCCACCACCATGAGACCAGACCTGAGCAAAATCCAAGAGTCAAATGCTTAATTGTGCCACCTGTGCCAAGGCACCCCTGTATTTTCCAAATACTCATTAAGATACTTAATGTTGATCTTCAGCACCCTTTTATTAACGTCTGCAAAATTACATGTAAACATACTTAAATTTTTTTTAAATGGCTACTGGACCCAAGTGGTTAAGTGATGATGACCATTTTCCCAAGTATGACACAGGTTAAAAGAAAACCCTCAGAACAAGAGAGAAAGTGCCCATTCCAAGTACTGTTTCAGAAAGGCAGTTCATCTAAACGGACTGGAGTTATCTCTTGGTAACCTAGTGAATAGGTGCCTGAAAAGGTTGGGGGGGTGGAAAGAGTCTTTAAATTACCTAAATCCCTTTGTTCTAATTCCATTTTCACCAAAACACAAATTTCTAAGGAATGTGGCTTCCTATGTGAGCTTACCACCAAAAAAGAGAATAAACCATTCTGGACTGCCTTGAGGCAGCAGCTCTCATTGAACCTTACAATGCTAGATTCCATTTTATACTTATTCTACCTCCGTAAGCTACACTACTAACTTTACTCCTGAAAGACAAAGCCACTCTCATTAAGTCAACTAAATCCAAGTTCCTGAACTTGAATCAAAAACTTTGAATGTGGGGCAGCCCGGGTAGCTCAGCGGTTTAGCGCCGCCTTCAGCCCAGGGCCTGATCCTGGAGACCCGGGATCGAGTCCCACGTCAGGCTCCTGCATGGAGCCTGCTTCTCCCTCTGCCTGTGTCTCTGCCTCTCTTTCTCTCTGTGTGTGTCATGAATAAATAAATAAATAAAATCTTAAAAAAAAAAAGTAACTGAAATGGATTAAAGACCTGTGAGACCTGAAACCATAAAACTCCTAAAAAACAGAGGCAATAATCTCTAAAAAAAAAAAAAAAAAAAAAAAAAAAAAAACTTTGAATGTGGCTCCACTTGAGTGTAGTGGGCCCAACCACATTCTTTCCAAAATGAACAGTATTATCTCACACAATAAAAAATCACTTTAATGACCCAGCATTAAAACTGTGCCCTAGTATACTGTGTCCCAGACGTCGATTACTATATTTATTACTGCATCATTGAAGTAGGAGTAGCTCATAGAAACTCTTTATTCAGACTTTAAATTTCCAAACTATTCCCAAGGAGCAAATCACACTCTCAAGCAATAGCCCTCATTATTTTAACATTCTAAGTTTCTACAAATCCAAAGAAGAGCTTTTTAAAAAGACCAGAAAGTACCCATGAGAGACCTAAAAACAAAACAGTACTCAGGCTGAATAAGTCCAATTTTATGGAGTGGAGGATGGAACATGAAGAATCAAATTCCAAAATTCTACTTCAGGGTTCTTTCTGCCAAATAACTCTAAGTCAAACCTTATTAAAAATGGCCTCTAAATTATAGCACACAACCAAACTATTACTTTAATGGAACTCCAGTCTGGATCCTAATGTTATCAACCTTTCAGGTTAATAATGTTCAATATGGGGACGCCTGGGTGGCTCAGTGGTGGAGCATCGTCTGCCTTTGGCTCAGGGCGTGATCCTAGGAGTCCTGGGACTGAATTCCACATCGGGCAGGGAGCCCAGTTCTCCTCCCTCTGCCTGTGTCTCTGCCTCTCTCTGTGTCTCTCATGAGTAAATAAAATCTTTAAAAAATAAGTAAATAAAATTTAAATTTTTTTAAAAAAATCATGTTCAGCTATGCTTTTCAAAATCACAACAAATATGTTCAAATATGAACACCAAAAATCAAGAAATTTTACCAGTTTTCACCAAATTCCTTATAAAGAAAATTTCTAAGTAACATTAACCATTAAACTGAACACTTAATCATAACAGCTGATTTTATAACTATGAGATACATTTATTGAGTACTGTTCCTCTATACCCACTATTTCATCTCATTACAATCATAAAGCATTATGAAGAAATGGAAAATGTACATCAGGAAAGCAAGTTTAATATCTAGAACACACTAATGTGATTTATCTACCTATAAAGCAGTGTTTTCTCATTTATATACTTTGCTGATACTTTTAACAAATGGGTTTAAGTCTTAGAAATAATGTTTACAAAAAAAAAAAAGAAATAATGTTTACCACTTCTTTAACATATGCAAATCTCCCAAGCACTAA